TGAAGCCAGAATTAATTAACCATGACCCGGGTCTGTGTATTAAAATATTTCACATAAGGGATGTTTTTATTAAACATCAGAAAGCGTAAAACACAAAGATAAGACATGTTTCTAGGGTACTCATTGGTCTGATAAATCTTTCGGTTCATCCCAACCCCTAATAAAATCATGTAATCATCCTAAACAACGGCCAACCCTTTCTTCGTAATACCCAAATCCGTGCCATTCCTACTTGGTAGACCTTTCAACCCCCAATTCCCGGATGCGTTTCAACCAACCTCCCAAATACCAAGCACCCAAACCGCACCGGAAATAGGGACCCTCAGCATCAAATCCACCACACTGTTCTACCCACAACCTACGTGACGTATCCCTTAAGAAAAGGCTCATAACCAGTAACGTCGACTAGTCGTTTCAGCAAAATTTCCGCTTGATTTCCAAACGTCACTCCTTGTTTGTCAAATAGGAAAGTGCCCGCGTTCTTACAGAAGAAATTTATGGTTTTAGATTACCGACAAGATAGAACCCTACTTACCCACTTAAATCTTCGTCAAGTCTCATCCCTTATCCCGAATCAGGCAAGGACCCCATTATCGAACCTTTCGTATTTACATGTATGTTCCAGTGTTATAGGGATTATAGTCTAGGGAGAATTAGGGTAGAATATAATATGGAGGCTTTAACGGGAGAAGGTTTTACCGATAATTATGGCACATTATGGTAATGCTAATTTAAGATAACTCGCCCGGACAGATTCTCAAATGGAATTGCACGGCCGTTCACTCGTTATCGGTTATTACCGGCGAGCGTTGCATAGAAAATTGAACCGATGCGTTAATTATAGGCGATATCGGTCGTACGATTTTAATAAACTCTGCGCATAATTTTACGTTTCAAATCGATATCACGTCCCTGCTGCTCTGATGCGGCTGCTGCTACTGTTATTACTATAGATATCTGTGCTATTGCTGCAGCAGCAGATTGTCGAAGCGGATTGTCTGAATTTTTTTTTAAATCTATTGAATTGACTGGTTGTGCGTGATGCAAGATTGAAAAATTGTTATCTCGATGAAACGTGTGTAATAACAATGCAATCTGTAGCAAGTTGATAAAGAGCACTATGGATACGCAGTTAATAGAAAAATGATGTAAACGAATTGATAATTACAGAAAATGTCTCAATCGAAAAAACAGAAAATCATGGATAAAGATCATGAAGATTGAACGAAAATCAAACAGATTTTCCTACTGGAGATTGCATTACGTTTCACAGTGTATGTGTCTCGAAACAAGAGAATCACTGAAGAAGACATTAATCCTAACAGATCTGAACTTGGGTACTTATAATCAGCCAAGCGGCATAACCTTAAGGGCTGATCTCAAGATGGTAACGTAATTCTTAAAGCACCCGTCGATCCGATCATGATTAATCAGTCGCGAAGATGGAAGTCGCGCTTAACTTTTCTCACCGTGCAATCCAACTGGAAACGATAAATAAGATCAGCGAGGGACGATATCTCGAAATCCAAGGACATTAAAGAGATACGAGATTCTGATACAGGAGAACTTAATAAGTTTTTGAATTTTCCAAAATTTCCCGCTTTACTCGCATCCGGAAAAGTATCTTCAGACTCGTCGATTAAAAATCTTTCATTCTCTCCGGACCAGGAGGTCCAGATTCTAGTCATGGGTCATTTAGGTCAGAATCGAGAGACGCGACGATCGATAAGGACAGAACAGAATCTCACTGTCAAAATGACATTTCTTAAAATATGTTTAAATATACCTCAAAATCCGATGAGCATGATTTTAGTACCAGAAGAAAATCCGAGATGGCGCTCGCTGTAATCCTTGCGCGTTCACGCTAAAGCACCACGACCCCGGTCATATTCCATTTCGTTCGGTGGCTTCTAACCATCCGTTATTTTTTTAAAGCACGTCATCAAGAAAGTTTCTTCCAAAGCTTGCAGCGCGGCTCTTAGGGCGCTAAGAAAAGGAGCTTGGTAGAAGAGGGGTAGTTTTACGGGAAGAAATAAGAGATAAAAACGCGAATAATGCTAATCTGAGTAATAGGTCAGCAGGCATCGTCCATCTATTGCTCACCCCTTTGCTCAGCCTCTTCCTCACTCTCTCTCCCTCTCTTTCACTTTTGTCTTTTCCACCTTCCCATCCTCTTTCGTACCCAGCGAACCCCAAAGCCGGAGATGAAATTATTATGGAATAACTAATTCCATTGGACTGAGGACCTCTCGAGATTATCCACAATAACGAACGCCCGAAAATGAAGTTTCTCGCCCAAGGCTACCGGGATGAAATAATCGCCTCGTCTTGGGAATTTATTACTTAAGAAAAATGCGTCACCCTGTGTGAAATTATTAACGGTCGAATGGCTTGGACTGCCGAACAGTATAATAATAATGGAGGACTGAAACAGAACGTAAAATAAAATGAAAACCAAACGAAACGGTTTTATACGATGCAGAAGCTGATTCGACGATATTTGTTCGCGAAATTCCGTACTCGGCAAAAGTTCACGCTTTACTACGTATTACGTGGAAACGGCACACTGATTTTTTTTTTCCGTGACCAATATCGTTTTTCCAATTAAACACCGAATCGTAATTAGAGTTATGACAAATATTTATACTTCACTAAGTCACGCTCGTGATACGCCTGGCTATTTGATGGCTGGGACGATTGTCAATAATTTTGTCGTATACGCAATAAATTGGCAAATAATCAAAATGCGTCATTCGTTAATGATAAATATAAATCAAGGTTTAAGTATATCATGGTCGTGCTCTGTAGGTGGCAGGAGGGTCGTTCGAAAAAAAATGGAAAAGGCTCAAAGCCTCTGAACTTGAGAGCAAGTTCGTGCTCGATGAAGAGTAAAGGCTTCGGGATAACGATAAGGAAGCCTCCGGCTAATTACTTTGGAGAGATTAATAGCTTCGGCTAATCACCGATAATTAATGCGCAGTCTCACTCAAGACGCATATCACCCTTTCACATTCATCTCTTTGTTAACTCTGCATCGACCAATAGCCTGACTCTCGTCAATTCCACATCGTGCGATAAACTTATTTTATCATTTTTCCTGCAATTATCTACGTACACCACAACCAGTAATTATGCAAGGCACTAATAATGTAACGAACCGTAATTAAAAAATAACTTTAGCTTTACTCAATAGACAAATTTTATCGGTCATATAAGTTTTCAAGTGTCAACATACTGTGCTCGTCCATATAAGAAATTATATATATATATATTAATTATATATATATTATATATATATATTAATTCTTATCGGCCAATTTTTTATATATAAACCTTTTAAAGAAAATTTACAAAAGTTCATCAGCTTTCGGCCTCTCACTTTAATCTTGGTTATTGCAAAGGATAAAAATTGCGTAACTGCATTCACCTTGAAAACGAATGATATTTTGGACTAAATATAATTTTAAGAAAATTACATGTTTACCTAGCGGGAATTAAGTTTGCACGATTTCGGATTACATTTAAAGCGCATTAAAGTCCGTCGCACCAGATACGTGTACAGGAAGGAGCGTTGAGGAATTTGTGAAGAACAAAAATAAAAAAACATAATCCACATAAAAAGATAAATCAACGTAACGTAATATTATTAAACAGTTACTTCATCGTCATACGTCCTATAGCTTCTTTGTATTTCTTCATAGTGACGTCATGAGTAAGTCATGTAATATTTACACTCGTATCCTTGTTTGCCAACGAGAATATAATTCTGAATAAAACGTTTGCAAATTTTACGAAAACATCGGTCAAGTAATTCAAACAAAATGACAACTGGCCTAAAACGTTGCCTTTGAAATTTGAAACTCATTAATAGTCGTCGAAGCCAGCGCCGCGTTGGATAACTCATGCGATAAAGCGCAAAGGTCTAGGGTCCTCTAAGTAAATGTAAGGGGTGTCTGGAAAACGTAGTTGATGTCCTTGAGGGTGGATTGCCGATAAGTAACCCTAAAGCGGAGAAGGATATCAAGCTGGTGGCTCCTGTTCGCTAAGTGACGGGTATTCCCGATCAAATAGATTGTTGTAAAGAAGAGATAAGGTTTACCAAAGTCAGAAAACGATTCTGTCGTTATCGGGAACTTTGATAATCGATAAGATAAAGAATTATTTTCTTGGAAATGGAATGATAGAGATTAGGGTAGATTTAACTAAACTCGGTAAAATTACATACTTCCAGTCGAAGAATCGCGTAACGGTATTCGCATTATGGACGATAGGATTGATAAGAATGACAGGGTATGTTGAAGCTTAAATATGAATAATTGCGTAATTCGTATATGCGGTTTGTCGGGAAAAAAATTTTGTCGAATTTTTGTGGAAAACAATAAGACACAAATACCATGAACTTTGCACTTACTTTACCAGGTTAGAAAAAAAGTAATTTATCTAGACCACTACCGTGACCGATACGAGTCAAGTGGGTGGAAAAAAGCCTTTGGACTAAATAACCGGGTATTTTGTTTGGATTATATAAATACTTGGTATAAGAAGGACAATGTCAATGTGCTGACAATGTCATAACTGAAAATTGTTGAACAAAACTTTGTATAATTATATCTATAATACATTCGCCATAACCCTAATTCATGCAGAACATTACAAAATCTTACTTTCATAATGTGGCCAACACGTGGCCATGCGAACATGAATTAAGGGTGCACAAGTGGTGATAAAGTTACATCATAAAATAAATCATGAACCCTCTCACAAGGTGCTTTGGCCATTTACAATTTGGTAAAGAATCCCATATATCTTTAACCATTAACAATAGGCGCTTTCCTAACGACAAAAGTTTCACTCATCTCGAGTGTGATTTATTTTTATTGAAAAATTCACCGCCATAAGAACAATCTACTAGTTTATCCTATCCTGACGATTTTTCTACTCCGTATTATGAAAAAAAAAAAATTTCTTTTTTTATGGACATTCTCCGCTTTTTCTTACAGCCACTGCACCAGCGATTACATTGCCGTCTACGAGGGTCGAGAAACTACAAGTTCGCTCCTAAAGATGCTCTGCGGAAATGACAGAACGAATGTCGTCCACGTCGGTTCACAGCTTTTGGTGGAATTCAGGTAAGCTTTCATTTTCCTGTAAAAGTTCCAACAAGAGTTAGGGAAACAAGAAAAACGAAAAGAGGAAGGGGCTTACTCCATTTTCCCCATTCAACGAGTAAAAATGCCCCTAAAAGCGTTCTCGATGTAAATGGACGAGAACGAAGCTCGACCAATTTCCCAAGTCCCGTGGAAATGTGTTTTTCATCGTAGAATATCGATGTGCTTCGTTTTCTTTTCCTTTTCGTGAAGAAAAAAAAGAATTGCGTGAAAGAATGGAAGAGACGGAAAATGAAAAGAAAAGATAAAATATACAAGAAATACAACGTCTATACAGACTGCACGTAGTATTTTTTGCTATAGGGAAACATATCGGCACGTTCTCAACCCTTGGAAGAATCTCCCAATACACAAATTTCATTTCCTGTATAATTTAAATAAATTTTATTTTTTAGATCCGGACCGGAAGTACCACCCTTCAACTATAACGGTTTCGTAGCTACTCTCAGTTTCGTTGAAATTACGACAGAAGCGCCAACGACAGTCACCATGGAGAGTACCAGTAAAACACGTGAGACCCTTTAAATTTTTCAAGTGGCACTTTGACACTCTGAATTGATCCATCGTTCAAGTAAGATAGCTTCTTCAAAACCTTATCATGTTTTACAGTCGAGATGATAAGATCGCCCAGCAGGAGCAGTCATAACGGTCGTTACAATCACCGCGATCTTCATGATCATCGCAAGGATCAGGGATCGGCCAGCTGTGATCTTGTCGTTAGCGGAAATGAGATCAGGTCTGGTCATCACGACACAAGGGGTAAACTCAAGTCCACGGTTTGCCGTCTCAATCTACGTGGACGTGCTTACGACACAGTACATGTCTCCATCACTAGTTACAATCTGAGGTAAGCAAATAGCTTGTGCCGTTGTCGCTTTATTATCTAGGGAATTTTTTTTTCTTTCTGAGTTATGACCCAATTCCCTGTAGAAATGTAGTCACGTAGAAAGAGGATGATTCGTCTACGAAATTTCTACATTAGTCGCGTCTATGTGTATACATATATATACTGACATCTAATTTTATTATTTTACGTCATTGCAACGTACACTGGACGATACGATATGGCGTCGTTATAAGATGCTGAAAAGTTTATTAAATTGCCATAGTTTATACAAAGCATCGCTACTTGTTCGGACAGTCTTAAAAGTCCAATTGAACGAATAAAGGATCGCAGAATGAATTCTTTATCGTTTACAGTTTCTACGGAGTAAAAGTCAAAATCGTTACTGAAATTTTATACAGTCACTTGGGGGCTGCTCGTCGGGGATCGTTTCGAAGGCGATGCAATGTTCAATCTACCAGAGTTAAGTTATCGTACCTTAGTACCGATTAATTCGGCAGTAAGCTTTATACCTCGTTCCCCTGTCGTGGCACGGTGTATAAAATGTAAAGTGCTACCCAGCCTGACAAATGTAATAACAGGGGTAGCTAAAAAGGAAGAAGGGTAGTTAGGCAGCTACAAAGTATGACCGAATCAGCGTCAGAATGAGAAACCATGCTAATTAAAATCCTTGGTTAAAGTGCCGTTTTAAAATCAATGTCCCGTAAGGTAATTGCGGTTCAATTGCCTCGGATACATCAGAAACTTTTCAAGTAACACTATAGCTACGTCTGTACCAAAAGTTATCAGCAATGACGACCGTTGGATCCTTCGAAGCGTACAGTCTCTTCGTCTAAGAATTGACAAAGCCGTGCCTTTCAAAATTTAATTTTGACAAAAGCCTGTACAATGAATCTTTCTCTAACAGCCCCCAATACCTGTTATTTAATTCGTTATACAAGACTCGATGGACACGAAGCCGAGAAACTCGTGTACAGGCACTGTGCCAATTACGTCGCTTCTACCTCATGGAGGATTAGTAGAGCTGGGAATGACGGGTCTTCAATTTTCCCCAATCTTGGAATAAGATCTTTCCCCAACATGGGATCTCGTTTCGCGCGTCTGTGGTTTCCACTTAAAGTCCTCCTGTCGTCGTTCCACTCATCCTCGATGCCGCATCAGTCCTGCCACGCAGTCCGGCAGTTCCTTTCTCAGGCAGCTCCTTCGATAACCACGTAGGGAACCCTCTCACAAAAAGACGACGCCCCTGGTGGCAGTTGCCGATATCGAAGATATACACGTGGACTCTCAAGGATTATATCGTAATTCAGGATATTCGTCCTTTTTATGCGATTGGCCCGGAATGCGTGGGAGCTACGTGTAGAGCATGCCAGTCCTACTCCAAGTCTATTCCTACGCTTATCAAGAGTCCTGATCGGATCGCTAGGATATCTTACAGGAAGTACCAGTATGAATTGTGGTAAAAATTTTCCAATTTGTCAAACTTATTTCGGTCCTGCGTAAAAATATGTACTACCAATTGCACCGTGAGGTCCCACGAGATTCTGAAACATTTCTTGAATTCTTACGAAAATAACTGCAAGATTATTCAGGTCCAGTCGTGATAAGGTATTCTTCCTTTTACGCGCAGTACGATATGCAGTAAAGGTGGGGAGATTGAAGACGTCGATGTTACCTGATAAGAAATCGCGGGGTATCAGCCCCGCGGATGTTACAGCCAATCAATACAAGTATCGCGGTCTTATAAATAATATATATTCCAGACCTATTTCTACGTTCGCTCTACGCGAAGGCGATCCGATTTCAGTCGATACAAGTAAAGTAAGAGATATCGAATATCTATACCTAGGGCTCACCAGAGACAAGGCCCTTTTTTTAAAAAGCCAGAAACTCTTTTTATCCGCTACGACTACGCCACTGGAATTTCTCATGTTTTCAATTATCATGAAAAATGCCTTAACCTGGGATACAAGACAAACCTCTTGTACCTGTAAAGAATGAAAATGACTGTAATGGAATCATAAATATAATGATCGATCAATTAAATTTTAATTAATTGCAAATATCCTACTGGAAAATCTACACTTGGCAATATTCTTAAAATAATAGATAGACGTAATAGTGTGGATATTATTAATTTTCAAAATCTCATTAACTCACTAAGCCAGCTATCCAGTTAATTTTCCATCTTCGTGGACGAGCTGCGAAATGAAAAGCTACTGTATTAAATCATACGGAATCCACTGGACGTAATACGAGTTCGTATCTCCAGGATTTTCAATTATCATACACAATGGCTGCAACATGCAGACCATGTATTACTTTGAGAGATATGCTCACGTAACGAGAATAGCAGTTGGGTGTCCCGAGGAACACAGGGAAATGCCGAGTGCCTCTGCCAGGGATATAACCAGGAATAAACTAACGGAGGCTCGGGAGGTATAAGACACATAAGAGTTTATTGAGGGCGGCATAAATTTTGAATAGAATATTGTAAATCCGAGCGCCAGTGAACCGAGAAAGTAGCTCCCAGCGTAGGGAATACCTTATATACATATATACCTTCAAGATCTGCAACCCTTTTTACGACACGAAGCTCCGTTGAATTTCACCCTGTGATTCACCGGTCGTTCTGAAGACCGTAGAAATGAAATACATAGGGTTCGATGATGCGCTCAGGATACAAGCCCGTATTGCTTGAAAATGGTATATAGAATATTAACAGTTAAAAAATTCCATGAAAATTACGTAACAATAGAAACAATAAATTTAACTGAGGATTCTCGATACTTCAATACAGTCATTGTTAACTCATATGAATATTTTCATTACAGTCCCGTCGCCTGTAAATCAATGGTAGAGATTTTCGACGGAAATCTCGAAGCCAGGATGATCGGCTCAGCCAAGTCACTCAAAAGAATTTGCAGTCCCGCTGAAAGGCTTCCGCGCGCACTCGTGCCAGTCTCTAAGTAAGTAGTAATTATCTTTTTCTTAAGTATGTAAAATAATATTCGCAAAGGTACCAAAGTAAACGACCTTCCTCAGCCCATTATTATCTCAAACGTATATTGACTAAATTATTCGCATCCCGTCCGAAAGTAACCAGCGAAGAATTAGTCTGTATTACATAGGTATACATATCTAGTATATATATATTCGTCATGGAAAATCTAGTACATACGTATCTAAAGATAAAAAGTATCAGAGAACGGCGTTATCTGACGTATGCAAAATTCTGATATACCTATATGTACAGCAAGCACATACCCTATGTATTTATTCAGATATTTGTAGGTACCTGGTAGGAACGTATTTCCCGTTTGTGAAATTCCCAAGAGAGAAGTTAGAGTTCGGTAGAGCAGACTTCCTCGTATTATCTCAATGAAACAGTTTAATACTAACGACTGTCTCTTCATGCGAGTGACGTAGTGTGGTAAGTGAAGTAACGTGACATCGCGAATCAGATTGCAGAAAAATTATGCTATATAAAAATTGAAGTTATTTTTTTTTTAATACGGGTTATAAAATAATATTATCAAATACTGACAGATATAAATTGGCAATGGATCGTGCCTGTCGGCAAAGTGAATAAACTCTCGAAAAATACATATATGTAGAAAGCAGAAAAGGTCTGGTTACGTGAAAACGAGAAGTTCATGTCGAAAGCAATGGCACGGAGTGAGACGACGGGGCCGAGTTTGAAACACGTATGCATTATGCAAGCTGTTGGAAATACTTGAACGGGGATGCGAGATGTTTGTTGTGCGTGCCGGCGTTACTCGAGAGATCCTGAAGAAGAAGGTCTTGAAGTAAGATTCGAATCCCAAAAGAGATTTTCTGAAGTATTAAGCTATTCTTCTTCTCGGAGTTTACGACGAATTTCAGTAAATACTCGGCAACCTCGAGAGACACTTTGCAACCGTGATATTATGGGGATAACCCTACAAAGGAGACACTGGGTACCACTTGTGAAGTAATAAAGCCAAGTATTACGAAGGGTCGAGAAAAAATTTTTTTATCTGTAACAACATTTGATAATTGATAGCAAAAAATGTCAAGGGGCAGTTCGATTATGAAATTTCGTACATAAAAGCTGATTTGAACGGATGAAAATTCTCGATGAAAGTTCGTAATTGCTTTGACTGCCAACGTTATTCTAAAAAAATTTTTAAAATAAAAATCTATCAAAGGTATGAAAAGTGAGCGTTTCTTCTCGTTTTTAAAAATATATAAAATACTTGATAGCGTCGAGTGTCCAGGTGAGTAATATGAGTCACTGAAAACATGAACCATTTTTTTTTCCCTAAAAAACTGTAAAATGTAAAACTCAAAAGCCTTCTATATCCCATAAACCGTGGGCAGACGGTATCTTTAACTTTTTACTATACAACCAGACGTCAAGTTTCCCCAGAGAAAACTGTGCTCTGTCGGTAATAAAGCGTGAAAATTGTGTCCTTCACTTCGTGAAACTAAATGGTCAACGATGACCCCGCGTGCGCCGGTGTTTTTAATCTATTTTAATTTCTAACTTGACGGCGTACAGGGCGGATAATTTATCCCCCCGTGTGGGATATCACTGGATGCGGCGAACGTACGTGCCTATGAGACTGGTGTGTTTTATGTCTGCTAATCTCGTAAAACTTCATGGAAAATAAAGATCATGTTTCATTCTACCCCTCAGAAAAAGCCGTGCACCATTTCTGACAAATCCTCCGTCCGCATTATGAGGTAAATTTCGTAATACGCCCTTCTGTCGCGATACGTTGAATAATCTTCCTTGATAATGCACCCAGGATTCCATGATCAAAAGTGCCCGGGACCAAATCAAAATTCAAATCGAATATACTCGTTGCCAGGATAATACAGGAAACTCCCACTCACCCTGAAACAGATTCCTCTACAATCCAATGAAAAAATCTTGTTACATCCCAGTTCCGTACCTACTTTACCTGAATGCCTTTAAGATATTTCATCTTATCCTTCAGGGCCAAATTTTCATACCTCTTTAATCGAATTGTCTATTTAAATTCCAGAAGTACTGAACGTGGGATAGGTATACCTATACAATATGAACGATCTGATCAATTTAATTTTGAGGTACAATCTTCTTATGGCTTACAGTCCCAAGAAGATCCCCTCTAAATGGGGAACTAATACCGTGATCTAACTATAGAAATATATAGACTGAAGCGTTGATGAAACTGACACGATATACGAAAGTAACTTGTTATAGGTCGACGGTTACCTGGCCACTGGTAGGGATCATGTTACATATGGGTGAATCTCGATTGAAAACCGAGACAACAAGTCGCAAGGGTGTGGCTATTATACAACAAAGTTACTTTGATCGTACAGCAATATGGCATACCATAAGAATGGATATTCGATACTCGAAAACGCGGAGTACAGTGATCAAGTATCTACGTAATATTACTTTATTATGTATACGTATACATGTATCTATAGAACAATGACCATTCTCTTATCTGTAGTCGAAGACAAATGATAATTCCATATGAAAATCTGAAAATTGGCTCTGGGTAAACTGCTGATATATATCACAAATCAAAACTGCTGCTTTAGTCGGAAAGACTACACACGATATGAGTAAGCTGAGTATGCTATAGGTAAGGATCTCCGCATAGCGGCGCACGTGAAACCGGAATCGCAGATGAAGGAAATGGCAGTAGGCCAACTGGGTCGCTTGATCTTTCGCTCTGAAGAGTCTATTCTCCAAACACAACTTCCAATTCCACCTTCGATCCCCAGCTGGCTCCAGGTCCTATGCCTCTATTTATAAAACGCCTGTTTGATTTGCTTTTGGTTTCCACGTATGCATGCAAAGAGACTGCATAGGTGTATTATCGAAATTTCATAATTCACGCTATACAAACACCAAGACTGCCAAATGAAAATGCGTTAAAGACAAAGCGTACGATAATCAAGATAAAATGGTACGATGCAACAGCTGCCAACCAACTAGCTAAATACCTAGGAAGATATATCGCATGAAAGGAATCTTTTTTTTTGTTTTTTACAAAAGAGACAGAAACTCCACAAAGTCAGAACGAACTTTCCTTGGATGACGAATGGGCCGTTTCTTTTCACGGCAGGTACACGCCAGAGCTAAACATTTCTAAAGCTCCAAGAGAAGCTCGCAGAATCGCACGTCGTTTAAAGCTTTTTAGCCAAGAAAGCTCGAAAGAAAAGAAGGGAAATGATTGTGACCGGAAACAGCTACACCCGATACCGTTGCTACTGTTGTCTTATCACTAAACAAGATTTCGATAAAGCTCCAGCTACAGCCGACTCTGGCACACCATCCTCCAGTAGCATAGGTGAAACTAGTCTCTCTGCTAACCAAAAGATAACTGTCGACGCTCAATTCGTAGTCGCCCTTTGGAAACGTATCCAACCGAATTCTCTCGATAACGTAGGAGTTGTTGACCTTCCAGAGCACCCAGTATCCTCGGGAGTATTTCCGTAATGGGTACTGCAGATTCATATGGATCGTATTCGAACGTCTGTACGTACATGCTCACTGGCAAAGGGTAAAATGGCGATAGAGAGGAGAAGAGAAAAGCACAGATATAGCCCATTACCGTTTAGCTCGCTCAGCGATTCGACATTGCTGTTCGCCCGTGCTAGATTCTCCTCCGTGAACAGCAAACCTCCTTCCCTATTTCTATATAGCGATCATTTAGAACATCGCCCCGACCAAAATGGAACGGAACGCTGTGTAAGATTTATATCGTGCTTTGTCGCGTGGTACCGCTTTTGATTCTCGTATATAGATTTCCTTTACGATAATATAACAGCATTGGTAATACCGTTCGTGAGCTTTCAATGAGTCTACTGTTACTGATGTTTAAATTTCGAAAACCCTCAGGGTACTCCTTACTCTAGATATTCCCCATTTTACCTTCAACGGCGTACAAACTATAAGTGTACCACCTTATATCGATGCTTGTCTTTTAAAAATTAATCGTTCGATTGATTAACGTAGTATCTACCTATATACATAGTTACGACGTCAAGATAGACAATATATATACATACGAAGGAGTGCAGTATTCTATACAAGAAAAATAATACGCATGCCTGGATAAAGCTACCGTTTTATGATGCAGGGTGGAGTCTTCGATTTACGTAAACGTTTACAGAAACTACGTGTTTTCCTCGAGACGAGCCATAGTATACACCATAAAGTGCAATATGCGACATGGCTTTCCTATTCCCCTATAAATGACATTTTCTACCTTCGTGTTCTCAGGTATATTGAACCCGAACGTTACTCCTCGACTGGAAGAGATATGACGGTTATTCTTCAACGATCCTCGGACAGTCCAGCGGACGAGGAATACATGGACGTCTCGTATTATTTTCACGACGGTGAGTCATCTGTATGAGCAAATTAATGAATATGATTAGTTAATTTAATTATATTGACGCAACTATCCTGCACTTCTTATTCAACGGCCCACTGGGTATATACCAAACACGCCAGACGTTGCAGAATAGTTTACTGCTAGAACACCCGAAGTCAAGATATGCCTTATACGGTGTAAAGCCATTAATCACTATGCACAATCGCTAATTGCTATTAACTGATTACTCTTGGACCTTAGACTGTCTATGAGAAAGCTCGTGGTAACTGCTCGGATTGGTAACTCAACTGTGGTCCTATGTAATTCCAACATTCTGGAATTCGAAGCGTATGTCGTTATCGGTTATCTACCCTGTGTGCAGAGACAATATAGTTCTGGTACTCCATTTTGGAAAGATCTTATCAATTTTATCGCAGGAAGAAACCATAATCGATGAACGATTCCATTTTGCCATAGGTGCCCTGTGGGGGAGGTCGAGAGACATTAAAACATATGAGCATAGTACTTCCGTCTCAATGCCAACTTTTCTTACTTGGTCCTTGATCATGGAAAACGTCGATTGACGTGATGGTTAAGATTGATTGATTATATTTAAGGAAATTGGAATGATGAATGAGCAACGGAGTAAATAAAAACTTGTGTGAAAGCGCATGAGAAATCAATGATTAGTTTCTTCTGTACAAATCTTCGATTTTATAACAGTTTCATTACGTGCTGGTACTGATAATTCTTCTTAAAGATATTTTTTTACAGGCAGATAAAAGTCCTGAAATTAAAATTCAGTACTCGAATACTCTTCCTAAGATCGATACGGATGACCTGCTTTTTTGCTTTCTATGCCTCAAACAGAATACCAATGGTAGATATGCGGCCATGCGGCAGAGTCGATATCAATACGTAACTCGTGGATTGAAAAGAGAAAATTGTTTGGTTATATCAATTAAATACGGAACCGTGCACACGATAACAATTCGTTTGATTTTTAAAATTGAATGTATCGACTTTTTTACATAATAGCTATAGGTTTAACTACGTATCACGTACCACAAATGATGTAATGATAGAATTGCATCATTTGTTATGCACGGGACTTTGGTTCTTCTTATTGGTAGGTACGACAAAAGCAGTGAAATAAAAAAAAGCCAATGCATTGCACGGGAGGGGGATGGAGGGAAGTGACGGTAAAAAATAAAAATAACTCCACTGGGAAGAAAATGGCGCGAATTCAGCAAAGCTTCGACGGAGCTTGCAGGATAGTATAGTAAAACAGTCGGGAGCAGATATTCGGAATAGAATACATTTAACGTATCAATTGCCAGGAATTTCTCTACCAAAAAGTATCATTTCTATGGCGCGAGATATCTAACAAGCAAATACAACTTCGAGCGATTCCATATATGCAATTATATAAAAATTCAATTTTCACTTTACAAGGTGGATCAACTGTCTGATCGAATTCTGATAGTCATGAAAATCTTTCTTTGCTTAGATTCGAGTTTTATATCGATATTATTGTAAACTCGCAGAAAGGGAAGAAGGTACTCAGCAACCAGCCAGTGTCTGCGACGTTGAATACTACGGTTTGAGTTCTCCACCGGAAGGCACAGTGATACATCCGGAACCGCATAAACTGCTCACGTCACAGGGGCCTGTAAAATGCCGACAACACTTTATACCAGCTGCTAATCAGTCGATTAATATCACGGTAAAGCATTCATGTTCCATTATGAATTTAGGCCATTCTCATTAAAAGTTCCAATATCATTTCTTTCACTGAATAAAAATAATGGTATTTCGATCAAAGCCCATATAGCATGGAGATAGTACCATTGCATGCATATAGTATATGCAGGAAATCCTTGCGGGGAGATTCATAGTTAAAAAACTGTGCGTTGCAGTAATTGCGAAGTTTTAATAACGATAGAGCCAGAGGCAAAGTAGTCGCGGCGACCCCGGAGACGTCGTTAAAAATTCTATCGCGTTAATTTGTATGTTTCTTCGTGTTGCCGACAGGTCGAGAGCAGCACGAAGCAAGCATCAAGCAATTCCTGTTATACAAAATGCGGCGACAGCGGCTGTCAATGCGTTACGAAAAATCGTCTTGATGAATTGGATCATCTTCTTTTGGTATCAGAAACCGGCTACGTCGTCAGCTGTTTTTGTGGAAACTATCAAGTGAGAAATTATTTGTTATTCTTGTAGAAAATATCACATGGTTTGAGTATTTCATTGCGTCTGGCAGGAATGGCTACCGGTTGGTGTTAGAAGTTGGACGCCAGTTTACATAGAATGGTCCAGGTTCTCGAACGCCGGTCTCAACTTCAAGGCTGCATACAAATTTTCCGAGGATCCATACTGCGGCGATCATACTACGAAGAAACCGGAGGGGGAAGTAACTGGGGGTAATTTGGCCAGTGGAGAAATAAAATTAAATCAGTACTACCAACAGAAATGTACATGGATTTTGGACTCGTCGATGGATCGACAGTTGACTATTGAAGTGAAGTCCTCGCAAAGTCGTAAGTCTTTTCTACATTATTTTTAATAATTACGTGGGGTCCGTGTTATATCGATTGTTTTGTATGCAATGCCAATATTCTAATAATCATTTGGTTACCAACTGTTCATATATGTATCTATAATGTCTGTGTATATTAACAGTCCCGTTCTCATAAATTCCCCTACACTGTGTCCAGTGTTTAAAAAACAAGTACACAAATAAATTCAATGAACAGTTTTCTGCAATTGGTGAAACTGAGAGACCGTTCATTATTCTAGATAGCACCGGACGCGTATCGCCCATATAAGCTGTCCCACGCTACCGAACAACCAATTACAGCGCGTACACAATCAATTGATATTGGCAGGAAATTTGGCTACCAAATTAAAAAAGAAGGTGGCGGTTATTTGATTCTTTTAACCTTTCCCACAACGCAAGCAATCAAGTACCTCGTCGTGCTTCGCACGATAAAATTTCTTGTAGGTAAAAGACGAAATAAAAGGTATTTAGTCGAGAAAAGGAAATAAAAGTCAACAAATAGTACAAGCCTTCCCGAGGAAAAACGATCTACGGAAGTTGAATTCCATTCCTCGAAGTCCGTTCATCTTTAACTTATGTGGAAGACCATCCAAGGGATACCTTATATATATGTTCGACGGTCTACAAGGCCCGGACCCTTAGAGCAACTTCAGTTTATGGTCGTGAATCTCGCTAAACTACACCCAACCGCCGTAGGAAAACACGAACCAGTTGAAGCGGAAGCAATTATAATTAATTATAAGAAACCGGGTTGGCCTAGGATCTAGGCCATTGTATCTTTATGGTTCGGTCGACAAACAAACACGTCCTTGAAATAAAATCTCATAAGTCACCGTGAAGAGTGTATTAAAGCCATTTCCTGTTCCGGTTATTCACGAAGTTTTATACAGAACTTTGATTTACGTAGAAACTCAGTAGCAGGACAGCCAGTGAACAGAGTATACTGTCGATTCTTGGTCGGGTCGAGTAGAAGCAAAGCTTTAGTAGTTTTTGTTAGTCTAGTTAAACCCAAATCTCTTTAATCTCAAGTTGTACCTTATAGCTCGTACGCGAAACCGCGTTCGCCTTTTAATCAATGGACAAAGCCATTCGCCTCTTTGAACACACGCTTTTGCACCTTCGATGAATTATCAAAAAGGGAACCATTATAACATGCTATATACATTCTCTTAACGATTATACCAAACTTTTCCCCTCTCACACCTCGGAGGCTCCAAGTCGTGCCTGTAGATAAAGAAAGCTTGGTCAGATGGCTTTCATAAAAATAACAGACGAAACGTGATACATTGTCATGCTTGTTATAAATCGCTTGGCTCTTACTTCAATATCTTCCATTATGTTTTTCACGCAGGACCATGTGCTGCATGGAATCTGACGATACACGAGTACAGTAAGAACGGTGACCCGGCGGGACCGAAACTGTACACCTTCTGTTCACGAGATCAGCACAAAAATTTTACCCTCGACTGGAAGATGAATACTGCTGTAGTCAGGTAAGCTTCTTCTATCGTACGTCTATCCCATCACATGACAAAAACAATGGATAGTTTTCAAAGGCAAGTTGCTCATTGTGCATCTCGCGTATATCACTGAAAGGACGAATATATATTAGGTAATAAATGTTTTAAAGAATCTGTCATGAAGATGAAACGAATAAAGCCGAGGGACTAGCATGGCAAATAATTTCAAAAATCCATAATTAACCTTGTTATATTTTTCCCACCTGTTTTGTAGATTGCAAGCACTGAGCAGAACGCCACCTCAGTATACAATGAAGTGGAGGAGTGATTTCGTCACAGCCAACACCAGGAAGAGTGGTCCATCGCCAGCTCCCAATCACGTCACAGGATCTTCAAGTAACATTCATGATCGTCATAATCATCGATACTGTGCATTCTCGTTAACGATTCCATGGTGGATCCTGATGACATTCCTACGACTTTAAGTCGCTTTTCTGTTCCTGAAAAGAAGTCCGTGCCCGTGTGTATATAATAATTATGCAAAAGGAACTCACTGGAGGATTATCGAATTTATAAAAAAATGTCATCGAACAGTTTATACGAATCATTAGCCTCCATCGTATATTTAAGAATATCGATGACGGCAGCGTACTGTGTTTCTCTCTTCGTTGATAATACATGTATAAATTGATACCGGCAATTTATATGTATCGATGACTATTGAAAGCACGATTAAAGTTTCAATACTTTTTAATCAGTCGTCGTCGATCCTCGATGCACGTGGAAATGAATTGTTCTCTAAATGGTGGATCACTTTTAACGCAAACCCCCCCCCCCATGCTGTATATATTATATATAAAAATGAAATTTAACCCTTTGTCGGGAATACAAAAGTTTCGAACTTTGGAAATACTCGGCATCGTTCTAACGTAACGCCGTCGGTGCGGTCGAATGGAATTTAGCCAGTGTACATAAACACAGTAGGCTAGTAGGGACTTGTACAGAATACAATGATTAACTGATAAACGAATAAGGAATTATTGTAAAATATCTATACAACTACATTCAAGATACACGAGTAACGATGGAAGATGTATTTTAAAAAACGAGCTTCGTGTGTCCAAGTGACACCTCTCGAACTATGCGTTAAATGTTCAACGATTATACATAATTATATCATAAAAATTATCCTAAGGGTTACATTAAAATCTTTGAGCATTCCGAAATACCTGAACTGACAATTCTAATGTTGATCAGATCGTCTTTACGGTTTTTCATAATACACGCAGCTCATGAGTTTTGACTTTTGTGTACTGGGAATGAATATTTTCATGGATAATCGTTGTGAACAACTAACTATATTGTTAATTACCACACCGTTACCACTAGACTCTAACTATTTAATGTACGTACCTACTATTACTAACTACAAAGTGAAGCAGACTAACAATACCTTCGAATAACGGTTAAACTTAAACAAAAAAAAAGACTAAAGTCACACACATGTCACGTACCAATATATGTAATAGGAAAATTAACCGGTTGAAAATTTAGAAACAACCAAAAATCATTTCATACTGGAAACTTGCGAATCTTCAATGGCAAACAGGAATCGATTTTGTCAAAGAACAGAACAAGTATAAATGAGAGCTTGTGTTTATGAAGTCTTTTGTATTCAACAAGCTTCATTGATATGGGATAAATAAATAGCACAATGTTTATGCTAAGAATTCCTGTAATGTACACCACTCGACAGCTAATTAATGGTCCTCATTAAATTCCCGACTATACATGAAAAAAAAAGACGCTTTACACGAAAAAAGGACGATTCCCTCTCGCCATTCATTCGCATTTGCGATAAAAAGAAGAAAAAAACGGTGCTAAAAGTCCATATAAAAAGCAGACAGCATTTTCGGTGCATTTTGCAAGAAAAAAAATTTATTTATCCTTACTACTTGGTGAGCTTGCGATGAAGTGCTGCATGTTCATTGTAAATTGTTCTTGCGAACGGTGACGTGGTTCAATAAATGAGAATCAATAGATAATGACATATCAACCACGTATCGTTGATAATATGCATACAACGAATTGCAATGCACGTGCTATGTTGATATCTTCAAGTTATGAATGTTATAATACTTTTGTTAAAATCTAATTATCTGATACAGCTTGTATTATTTTTTTTAACGATACCAACGAATCAGATATTTAAGAATGCGATAAAACTATTAATGTATGGAATTGTCTTTAACTGAGCTTATAGCAACGTCCATTTATTTTCTGGTTTGCATTCAGCATATGCTTTACAGGTATACTGAATTCTTTATAACGATGAAAGCTTTTTTTTCTCTTCAAACTAAAGCTGTACCCAATATTGGAAAGGTAAAAGTCGAGAGTATGAACCTTAACATAGAAAAATGGCATCTGTAAAAATGACCCAATTCATAGTGAATAAAGCAGCAATCTTTACAGAGTATAAGGATATTCATATGCTCTCCTGCTTGACCTCATCAGAACAAAGATGAAAGTCTTCAGTTTAATTAATGGAGCTAAGCGAATAAAATGGCTTTCACAGTGTGATGTCAAATAACGAAATGAGAAATTTAAAAAATTGTTTGAATAGAATGGCATCAATGTATCAAGTTGGTACAGTGTTGTTTTTTTCAAAGGCCATGTATCGGTTATAGCATCTCTTGAAATTCCAATGAATCATAGATATTGACAACTTTTGACTGATAATTGTACTACAAGTTAAACAGAAATATCAAAAGACAAGTCATTACGCAACCAAATAAATCTATGTATACAAAGAATTCTCACGTATTATACATTTTGGAAATATTTATGATTTTATACCTCTTCGCTAGGTAGTAACTATTACTTTCACTACTGGTAACTTCTCAGGTAAAGTATGAGAATTGATGCTATGTCGTCAGACAGCCTTAACCATATCATTTCACTGTATCGCATGAATTATAATAAACAGAAGTATAATACAATGAGTGAGAATTAATTGTATAATGGCTATGGCCTATAATTTTTACTTGCCAGGCACTCAAAAAACAATATGCCAATTGGATACATTGCCACTTTGACACTTTACCTACAGAAAAGAATACATGTTACATGTACTAGTCGTGTATATCTAAGTCACAATAAATAGTCAATTGTTTCATATAAACTATAAATAAATTAAAAATAAATATTAACATAGTCTTACTCTCCCGAGAATCGAGTGATAATTTGTTATTCGATAATCAGTGAAATATAGCGCCATTGACGAAAAATCCCTTGAAATATGCAGATTAATTAGATTAATTAAAGTACGATATAGAATGAATCGCTCAAAAAATATCTCGCGATATCCGAATAAGACCATTTTCAGCATATTCCCCAACGTTTTTCTACTGAGAATCACGAGAGTACGATTTTTCATTCCAAACGTGGCAACATGAAGTCGTGCAAATTCCAATACCTGTAATACTCACCTCATTATTATTATTGACTTGCAACACATGTTTGAATAAGGGTAATTCTATCATGATGTTAAAATGTTAAGAAAAAAAGAATTGACTACGGCAATTCATTTGATACAGTATTTTGTAATGATAGTCCAAGTCGAAGTAACCGGTTACTCGAATTTTCCACTTGATTACTGACGCACACAATTATTTTTAAGTAACGCACCTAATGGTCAACATTTTCAAAGTTTCAAATGAATACTCGTACCGACCACTGTACAGAGAATAAAAATTAACACTGTCAATAAACCCTGAAAGAAGAAACCTCAAGAAGAATAGAAACAATTGCGGAGATTATTCGTAATAAGTATAGAAAACCAACCGTGAACTAGCAATAAAAGTATTTACAATCGAATTCATACGTTTATCCATAATTTGTCGATACACCGAGAAATACAGGAAGATCACGTAGGGTCCAACATTGATCATCGATCTTATAGTCTTGTTCACAGTAAGATTTCAGTTCCTAATCTATATATGAACTAATCCAAGGAGCGAGCTTGAAGCTTCTAAATAGTAATCTGAAAAATTCAATACTGATACATCATTTTATATTATGGTTATCTTTAATTCGTCTCCCTGTTCAATTTTTAATTTAAGGAAAACAGAATTTCCAATTGTTATATATTATATACGTGTTTTCATTAATGATTTTAAATAAATAAAATGACAACAAACGAACGCATCTATTACCTCCCGAATATGAATGTATGGGACTAGCAACATGGCATTATTTTTCTTTCTTCTCGAATTCTTCGGTTTCTCATGATGTATGTACATACATACGTATGCGCTTTTCTCTTTACTTACTAGTAAAGCAATTGGCGTTTCATAAAGTTAATACTGAAGGAAGGAGCATGTGAAGTACAAACGTAATACATATACTCCGTCGATAATACATATCCCGTCGTAGCCGAGCTGAACGTGATCATGAAGGTGTAGCTTGGCGGGCAGAGGTTCATCACAACTTACCGCTGGTTCCTAGAGCAACCCTTAGAACGAGACCGCTCATCAGATATTACCTAAATATTTGTTTGTAGTCTTAAAGTAAAATTCACACCACATTTTCTTAAAAATGTTTTAACAATAGGCTTTTGTCTTAACAAACTTTATCGAGGTTACATTGTGCACTCGAATTTAAGATTGCAAAAAAAAATATTTAGGTAGTATCTGATGAGCGTCTTTCTAAAAGTTGCTCTGGGAACCAGCGGTAAGTTGCGGAGAACCTCTCCCGCCAAGCTACTACCTTCATGATTACGATCACCTCGACTACGACGGGATATGCATTATCGACGGAGGCGATGATCACAAAAGTCTTCTCCTGGATTCGCCGCTACGATTTAGAGCCATGCTTTTGGTATAACCTAAAACCGGAGCGTTGTGCATCTACCCACTCATCTCTGCCTAAAACCGTAGCGTTGTGCATCTCCCTACTCATCTGTACTCATCTCTGTCGCCTATAACCGTAGCGTTGAGTCTCTGGTTCTTGCACATCTCCTCATTGGAGAAGTCAGCCATAAGGAAAGGAAGCAAAGAACGATCCTCTTATTGAGCATTGTCCTACTCATCTCTGTGCTATCATTGAATGTGACATTTCTCTTTATCAGCGATTGACGTCATTTCCTCTAAAGTAGATGGCAGCACAAACATTCAGTAGATATCGTTGGAGGACGTCACGCGAAATTATCGAAGCAGACGCACGGAATTTAACTCCATTCAGTCACATACTAACAGCAATGGCGCGTGTTAGCTCGTAGAAGGCAACTCACTTCCTTTTCATTTACATAATTAATTTCACATTCTGCTGCAGTGCCAGTGACTGTGAAATAAACGACAGTACAATCGAGGTTGTTAATACATTCAATTAATTTAACTAAAAAAACGTGCAGTGCAATATTCTGTCTGTCAGATGTGTCTGAATCTTATGCCTGGTGAAAGTCTTTTCGCGTCTTTGACCCAATTCGTTTTCTTATTGTCCTGGGCATGATATCGCTTTGATACATTCCGTCGTAATTTAATGAGATTCCCTCGACGCGTACTGTGGACTGTGTTATTTTAATTTCATAATTAATCATTATCAAAGATGAATCTTGAGGCACGCGATGTAATCCGAGTGGGATCCCGTAAAAGTGAGGTAAGACTTGGATTTTCATTTTTTCATGAAAACTTTATTAAAGTTATTTCAGATTTATGCTAAGAAAGCATGTTTATTTTTAATACTTAAGACAATATTTATCAATTAATAATAATCCATGCTTTTTTGTCTTTTCTCTTTGTTTTACAACTTGTTGAATAGCATTGTATGAAATTTTGTCACAGTTTAGTATCATTACATGTAGTTATTTATGTGATTGCTGCATACTTACAATTAAATTATACTATCTTCTTAAGATAGGTTTACAGCTAGTCATGATGAAGAAGCAGTTTTGTTAATTTTGTAATCTTAGTTTTTACTAATGAAGAATATTATTCAAACATTTTAATTATATAATTTCACAGTCATTCAATTCTACTATTTTATCAGTGGTTGGATTTGTAATTGTTATTCGATTAGATTTTTCTTTGATGTAATACCAATCTCATATATACTTTATACTTTATACATATACTTTAATTAATAATATAAGAAAGTGAAAATTTGGAAGTCTAAAAAGAAAGCAAGATTTATGCAAAATCAGTATAGTACAACTCAATGATACATTTATTTATTTATTTTAGTTGGCCTTAATACAAACCAGACACGTAATTAAATGTCTCAAGGATCTTTACCCTAAGAAAAATTTTGAAATTGGTAAGTGACTGATTAATTGGAGAGTATACATTAATATCACTAAAATATGTACAATAAATCACTATTTGTTATGTAATATACCTGATTAATTTCCTGCAATATGAAAATTTAAGAGCATGTGTAACTGATTACCATATGTTTATATTCTTATATAGATATATATTTATATAATAGTGTATGATAGTAAATTTGTTACTAGTAATTATATAGTCTGATAATAGTTATACAACTGTTACTCACGTGCCATTGAGAAATTTTTAAATCATGAGTGACTATATCCTTCAGATTCATATTTGTGACAAGGTCAATATTCTGAGATAATCTCTTTATTATTAATAACTTTATATTAAATAGATTCTGTTGGTTTTATATAGTTACAATGAATACAAAGGGTGACAAAATTCTGGATAAATCTTTGCCAAAAATTGGTGAAAAATCCTTATTCACAGAAGAGTTAGAACTTGCTTTAGAAAGTGGACGTGTTGACTTTGTTGTCCATTCATTAAAGGACTTACCAACTACATTACCTGAAGGAATGGCTTTAGGTGCCATATTAAAGTAAGTTAATTTTTTTACTACTAGTTACAAGCTCTGTCTTCATGAAAATCATTTAGATTATCATTAAACATAATGTTGACAAAAAATGCTAAACCTGACCTTGTTTATTTAAAGTCATAGCCTTATTATCATTCTCATGAAAAAACCAACTATCGTTGTATAAGCATATTTACCCTGTTTTTGTATTTACGTTGCATCCAGCACATGGAATAATATTACTCTTTCTAAAAAAAATGTTATCAAAGAATATCTCTGCTTTATCTTATTGTATGTATATCATTACATTATTATTCGCAGACGTGAAGATCCGAGAGATGCAGTAGTCATGTCAAAAAAATATCAAGGCAAAACATTAGAAACTTTACCAGAAGGCAGCATAATTGGTACCAGCTCTTTGCGACGATCCGCTCAGTTAGCACGAAACATGCCACATTTGAAGGTGGAAAATATTCGCGGAAACCTAAACACCAGATTGAAAAAGTTAGATGACGAAGATGGTCCATTTGCTGCAATTATTCTAGCAGCAGCTGGCTTGAATAGAATGGGCTGGCAAGATCGTATCAGTCAGGTAAGACTGTTCTAATAAACATTAACATTTTTCGATTCACATTATTCTTATTTTTCAATTTCTAAAAAATGTTTTATATAATTTTTCCTACTTTCACTTGTAGTTACTGGATCCAGAAGATACGTTATATGCTATCGGTCAAGGTGCCTTGGGTGTGGAATGTCGTGAAACTGACTGGAACACTCTTTCCTTATTGGAACCTTTGCATGACGTTGAAACGACATTGAAATGCGTGTGCGAAAGGTCCTTTCTCAAAACACTTGGTGGTGGATGCTCAGCACCAGTAGCAGTAGCCTCTTCATTAAATGGGAAAGATTTAACAATCACAGGTGCTGTGTGGTCACTCGATGGTCAAACACTTATCAAGGACACTCTTAAAAGTAAATTATACTTGCCTAACGATGATGGGGAACCACCAAAGTAAGTTACTGTTTAATTCTATAAATAAATGCATCACCGAAGGATGATGCATGTCTCCTTCACAAATATATAACATATTTTTTATCTTTGTAATGTAGGAAGTGTCCTTATCGCGAACCTAGATTGTACTGCAGCGTTGCTCCCGGAAAAGTAAGTGGTATTAGTCTCTTGGGTGCTGAACAACTTGGCAAAGACATTGCCAAAAGTCTAATTGACAAAGATGCTCTCGAAATCATGTCCAAAGCAAGAAACGAAATACTTAGCACGGCGTAAGTAGTATAATTTGGAAATGTTAAATTTGACGTGAGAAATAATTTGTTTAATTGAGAAACATGCGCCGGAGATATGTGTATGTGGTTTTGGTACACTGCATACTTGAATTATTAACTTCGACGGCTCTTATGCAGTGATTAGTTTTCTTAAACGCATCAATGTATAGAAAGTACAAAAAGAATCACTATGACTCATGTTAATCATAACACGAACTGCATAAATTTTATTTTGTTCTCTTGACTTATATTTGAACATAGTCATACGTAGACAAATTTTCTTGAAAATTATTTGCAAAATAATTTTGGAGTTATACTTACAATTATACTGAATACGCAAAAATGCTTAATCGACTGTGAACTTTTGTTCTAATCAGTGTTCATTCATATGTCATGTTATGCTACTTCTTTAAAGAGGAACACTAGCTTCTGTGTCTCACGTTCTTCCCAAATGTCGTCTGTCATCCAGTCTAACGTTTATTTTTGACTACGCAGTGTTAAATATCTATTTATTATTTATATAAAATTATTAAACAGCCACTATTTGAAAAATTATTTGTCGTTTATTCATAATAGTCCAATAGATATAGGTAAATATTTGTTTATTGCAAGAATAGTTGGTTGATATTCATTCATGAAACATCAGTTTATCGTTGAAAACTGCCATTTTAGAAATTTTTACAGATGCACATAATGTTTCACAGTGTAAATATGTGATAGGCATATGAAAAATAGCGTGTAAGGTCTATATTTTGCATAAATTAATAAGCTCTGGACAATTGGAGTTTGAACTCTGTGAACATCCAATAGCTCATTAAGTTTGGTAATTTTGCGAACACTTTTTTTCAGATATCATGCTCCTAATTTTGCAGACTATAATGAATAAAATCAAATTATATAACGTCACTGCATAATATCTCATACTAGTAAAAAATTATTGTAAAGTATTGTATATGAAAAAAGATTTCATTTAAGAGTCCACAATTGATATCATTTTGTTATATTATTCTATTGGTGTTGATATAATAGTTATGGGAGAATCGTTTGTTATTACTTTACGAATTTTACATTTACAAGATATATGTTATATACAAGTGCACAGTTTGCGCCGCACGTTGAGGAAAAGTGTAGAGAAAAGAAGAGAGATGTACAGAAAATAAATGTATATAAAAGTAATCGTTGAATAAAAATATATATATACTTTATATCAACTTTTTAACTTTGAATGTTATCATGGCCAATATGATATTGTTGAATTTAATATACTGGCAACTGTCCATTCGTTCGTGTTTTCGTCTTGTTGTAACTTATGAGATTTCAATTATTCTTAACCAGTGCTAAGAAAATTACGTAGGTAAGTTACTGGGATAATCATGATTTTCATCTTGTGTGAAGCATTTTCCTATATGCATTACAATGTAAAGGATTTTAATTTACACTAAAAATTCTTTCAAATGATAATTATTAATCGCAATATATTTTATCCCGCTTATATAGATGAGAGAACTATAAAGCAAGTAATATTAGTGTCATAAATCCATCAGCAAGATATATAAGGAATTTTATTCACGACTGAGCTATAATAGCCACTTTATTCCCTGAAAAGTGGAACCAAATCAGCCACCGTCATTATGATGGAAATATACGGTTTTTCAAATATTCCAAAAATTCATAATTTTAAAATTTTTCACCTTTTCAAAACTTTCAAAATTTTGCGGGAATAAAGTTCATTATTCCCGCAAAGTGCGGGAATAAAGTAAATTTGCGGGAAAACCAAATATGCGGGAATAAAATGCTACTTTAGTCCTGCTTTTCAGGGAATAAAGTGGCTATTATAGCTCAGTCGTGAATAAAATTCCTTATATATCTTGCTGATGGATTTATGACACTAATATTACTTGCTTTATAGTTCTCTCATCTATATAAGCGGGATAAAATATATTGCGATTAATAATTATCATTTGAAAGAATTTTTAGTGTAAATTAAAATCCTTTACATTGTAATGCATATAGGAAAATGCTTCACACAAGATGAAAATCATGATTATCCCAGTAACTTACCTACGTAATTTTCTTAGCACTGGTTAAGAATAATTGAAATCTCATAAGTTACAACAAGACGAAAACACGAACGAATGGACAGTTGCCAGTATATTAAATTCAACAATATCATATTAACAAATGCATTGTAATTACAAACGACGACCTTTTCAGTACAATGTTGAATTAGATTTATCATATTCTTTGGCTTATCTGCATACTGTAAATTCATATTTCTTTAAATGGTCAGATTTATTAGCTATCTATTTGATACTATGCATGGAAGCTCAAAAGATCAAACAGATCCTTTATATTTTCCACTGTTAACTATCGTTTGATTTTTTATGATTTCTTACTTAAAATCGTCATCGTATTAACTTAAAGAAGTTTGTTGCCAAAATAAGCTTACCATTACATAGCTCAACTCCGTCGATCCTTAGCAGCTGTAACTTTCGAAAAAAATTCTTACACCATCAACTGGACAAGCTCAGTGAGCAAATATTCACAGCAGTTGAAAGTTTAAAGAAGAACGACCAAAAATATTACAATTAAAGGTTTTACATGTAATGCAAACTATATAGACACCTATTATATGCAATAAGAGCATGTTTTTTCTACTAACGTTGCTTTTTATTTAGGAATAATCAACGAGATTTTTGTTATCTTACTCAACATCCTCCTCAGCCATTCCTGTCTGTGACAAGATTTTCTGCAAGAATAGATTACACAATTCAATTAGTACTGATCAAAGATACTTGAAATCTTGTATTAAAGTAAATTTTCATTGAAATCTTATAAATTTGGATAATGTAAAAGATAAAGCTAATATCAAAAATGAAGTATACCTGAGTAACTGAAGGTAATCGTTGCAGAAGAAGATGAAATACTTGAGGAGGTAACGTCTTTTGCAATACTTGCAGGAGTTGGTTTGGCTGACCGCAAACTGCAACTGCATTAGCTAGATGATCGACTCCACCATCAAAGTCTCCAGCAGCAAGCATTTCTTCACCAAGTTGAACCTGATACAACAAAATTGTATATTTATAATACGTGTCTATTTATACAAAGAAATTATATGTATATTAATAAAATAAAATAAAACCCTACCTCTTGCAAAAAGAACCTTTGTACAACATCATGATTTTTGAAATCTGGTATTTGTGATCCAGACTTTTGTGCTAGTTTTTTGGCTCTTCTACCTGATATAACAGAAACATATTATAATTATTAAAATAATGTTCATTGACATACTTAAATAATAAATGGATAACTCTATTAAACAATTAAACAAGAAATTACAATGTTGCAAGTTTGTATCAGACTCATCTGAGAACGGGGCCAATTAATTTCATGAAACATTTATTGTATATGCACTACATATATTACTCTAGAAACGTAAATCATTATGCGCCATACCTCGCTTGCTTACGACATATAACATGATTAAAAACGGCACTATTCAAAATCATAAAGATTTAAGTAAATTCTAAAACATTCTTTTCTACAAAAATAGAAGTTTTGTAGAAAAAATAGTATTTCTTGGAAAAAAAAAGAGCGTATTAACCTCCCCTTTCAACGGCATGCACCTACATATTCGGATATCAAGTTCAGCTAAGAAAACTCACGTTCACGTAGTTTTGCTTTAAAATCTGGATCACTACGACGCTTCTGGTCGAAGTAAAAGCAATAGCCAACGAAAAATCCGGCAAGGCCGACAGCTATACCGACTGCTGCTTTTGAAATCATGATCACGCTAATAAACAAATTTAAATCTTATAATCGTCGAAATTCACAAAACCTTCATTGCGACTTCGACCATCACGGAAAAGGGCTGCGTTTGCTTAGCAGTCCATGAACACTTTGAAAACATAGATGAACAACTATATGTCTAGAATCAGAGATGAGTAGGGAGATGCACAACGCTACGGTTTTAGGCATCGATATATAGCATGGGCTACGCGATCCCTACTTCAAACTCCTTGAAAAAATGTCCGCTCGAATAGATAAAGAGGGACTGAAGTGGCGGCCAGTAGCTCTCCTTTTCTAATGCTCCCATTGCCTACGTTTTCTATACTCTCGTACTACGGCTGCTGATTCCTTAATTCCTTTCCTTATGGCTGACTCCTCCAATGAGGCGATGTGCCAGTAACGGCTGCTGATTAGAAAGAGACAGGGCTTGGCCGCCACCAATCACCATCTTTTTCTATCAGCCAACCATTTTTCGTATGCTTGTGAGTCCATGGTATATGTCGATGGTTGACACCGGAATACACACGCTTTAAATCGCCACCCGGTGTAGATTCATGTGTATCACAGAACTCAGGAATATCACGCGTAGTATTACTATATATATATGCTCGACCAATCAAAAACGTGAGACTGTTTCATGGGCTTTCCGTTAAACTATTTGATCTTTTTCATTTAATAGTCGCGAATATTAAAATTGCCTTAATATCATGCAATTGGTTAGCTGTCACCTAACCACCAATAATATTATTAAGTATCAAGTTATGTAGATCGATAGATATTAGGTTGTATATACATATATGAGAGAAGCACAAGCATCTAAAGAATGCGCGCCAAAAGTTGCGTGACAAAGAAGTTGAACGGATAGAAGTGCTGGACGGATGAGTTTCTTTTAACGTTATTATTGTAGACATATTTAAGATGCCTTTAATTGTAAAACCGACGCGTTATGCTCATCGAGAGGGACATACGGATGTTTGCTATTTTACTGGAGAAAAGTGAGTTCTTTAGTATATGCTTAATACAAACAGTAGCAAAGTTTTCACACGTTGATATGCTGCTATATTGTAAAGATTTTTAGAGATTTTAATCATACTATTTGTTTAGGGGAGGTCTAATCACTTGTGGTGCAGATGGGGATGTTAGAACATGGTTAAATTTACTTGATGATGATCCTGCTGCTAGTTGCATTGCTGAACAAGCAACGACAGTAGTTTCTAAGGTATATAAAATTATGCATTATTAATGTTTTGCTAATAAGCATGTCATAAGTACGTACTTTGTAATTTCAGAATGGTAAACTTTATGTTGGTACTGATGACAATAAGGTTCAAATACTTACTTATCCAGATCTTGAAAAGGAAGGAATAGTAACAAGATTTTCTGCTGCTATCTCTGCTATATCTACTGCTAAAAATAGTAATTTAATTGTATCAGGTGCCTGGTGAGTAAATTGTGCTCAGTTAAATGAAATTACTTTTTTATAAATTAGTTCTAAGCACTATTATGAAATAAGTAATTAATGGCAATAAAGTTAGGTTTACTGTTATTTAGTGATATGCGCATACAAGTGACCAATATTAAAACATCGGATAGTATAGAATTAACTGGTCATCAAGCTCCGATATTGGGTTTGTCCTTGGATCCAAAAGAAGAATTTGTTGTATGTATTAATGATTGTCACACTATGGAAAAAGCTTTAGTATGTTAACATTCAAATTTTTCAGGCCTCTTCTAGTGCAGATGGATCAATTAGAGTATGGAATATTAAAGAGAAACGAATAGTACACATCTGGGAGAATGTGGTTCCAAAGTGCAATTCTTTTTTCACTGCAAAGACCTATTCTACTCCGTCCTTTCATCCGGAAGATGGTCGTGTTCTTGCATATCCACATGGAAAAGAAATCGTCATTATTGAAAGATACACATGGAAAGAATTATTCAAATTGAGGTGTTCTGAACTTAAGACTGTGAGTTCTCAATCATCTAAAACAAATATCTCTTTATACAATATAAATATTACCCCCTTAATTGTGTACACATTGTAGGAGCTTAGCATATGCAAATTTTCCGAATGTGGAACGCGACTGGCTGGTAGTTCCATTTACGGGGAGGTTGCAGTTTGGGATATTGTAAATAAAGAATTAATTGGTTACGTTGAACACCAGCAGAATGCAAAAATCACTGCTCTATGTTGGAGTCTTGATAAAGCAAATGAAATAGCTTTCTGCGATAGTTTAGGTCAACTGAGCTGTATTGATGTTGTAAGCAATGTTCTGATATTCCATTATGAAAACTATGACCATATACAGAAAATATGTATAGTTAAAACTGCAATTTATTGTGCACAGATTGGTGACAGTAATTATTCAGCCGAATCAATTTCAACTTCTGTAACTAATGATAATGAGACTGCTGATCTTTTATTGAACAATGATGATGAAGATGATGACAATGAGAATGAGAATGTGATTTCATTAGACAGAATTAAAGCGTCTGTTAATCTAGAAGGAGACGATAATGATACAGATGCTGGTTCTGAAAGACCACCAAGCGTCACGAGAATTATTGCACCTGAAATTGAAGTACAGAAACCATTCCAACCTGGTTCATCGCCAGTCCATTTATTGTCACGCTATATGGTAAAATGTCGATATTCATGACGATCTTAAAAAAAAAAGATATTGCACTTCTGCACAATTTATAAATTAGTTCATTTAAATATAGCTGAAAAATAATCATTCTATCTGATCTTAAATTTAGGTATGGAATGATATTGGAATGGTAAGGCATTATACTTCAGAGGATGCCGAAGAACCTTCTATAGAAGTTGAATTTCACGATGTATCTGTTCATCACTCAATTCATATTAATAATTATTTGCATCACACATTGGCTGCATTATCCACTCAAGCTCTGGCATTGGCATGTTCCACAGATGGTTCACTAAGTAAAATTGTTGTTGTATCCTTACAAGGTACACCTTCGAAATTTCTTATAAATATCATAGTGTAATTAGAAAGATTTTTAAGCAATTATGACTGTCTTTAATGTCAGGTTGGGGTTCTGGAAACAAAGAATGGTCTCTAGATCTCCCAGAGGGAGAACAAGCACTGTGCCTGGCTGCAGGTGATAATTTCATTGCTGTTGCAACTACTACAAGACATATAAGACTCTACATGATCGGTGGAACGCAACGAGAAATTATAGCCTTACCAGGACCACCGGTTGCTATGAATGCTTATCAAAATTATTTAGTGGTCGCTTATCATACTGGATTAGGTATAAATTTTATAGATTCGATGAAATGACTCATAATATTTCCCATTTTTATTAAATATTCTATTTAGGTGTGAAAAAAGATCAATCTATGGCTATGATGTGGATACGAATTCGTGGACCGAATTTGCGCAGTCAGACACTCACAGTTCCATTGTCACCATCATCTGAATTAATGTGGTTAGGAATAAGCGATATGGGTTCTCCTACGATAATGGATGCCGAAGGTTTTATCAAAATGTATGACAAAAAGGCATGCTTGTGGAGAGTAGTTTGCGATACGGATACACAGGTAGAACTATCCCTCTAATATTTAAGAAATAAATAAGTACTGTTCTATCTATCCCATTTAATACACAAAACTATTATATTCTAGTGCAAGGGTAAATTAGATAATTTTTTTATTATCGGCGTCAGTGAGGCGGAGCAAAAGGTACGATGTGTTCTGTGTAGAGGTAGTCATTATCCTCCAACGACACCTCGACCAACAGTGACAGAAATACCTCTAGTCTTACCTCTTTGCGACGCGCAATCCGAACAGGCTGAGAAAGAAGCCAAACTCTGGCAACTGGGAAATGATCCTTTGGGCCAGGAGCAGATTCTACTCTCTTTGATAGCAGTAAGTCATTATTTATTTTTATAATACTGCGTCAGAAAATATTCATAATGACATAGTGTTATACTGAATATATGTACTAAGTACCGTGCATTCTGAAATCCATTAGATTGCTTGTCGAAACAACATGCAGTATCGGGCAGTAGATTTGTGCCAGGAAATTGCTTCGCCCAAAATTATAGAACTAGCGATGAAGTACGCAGCACGATTAAATCAAATGGCATTGGTTAAAAAGTTTGAGTCGATAGCCGAAAGTAAGGACCAGGAGGAGAAAGATGAAGTAGGGGAGATTAAAGAAGATGGCTTTGATAATCATCACCAAGCTCTAATAGAAGATTCGGAATCTTCAATATTAACGCCAGTTATACAGAAACAAGCTGATGTTGAAATTAGGCCATTACCTATCAGTTATAGAAGAAGCAATCCTTTTTTGAAAAGTGGAAATTCTCCAGCAGCAAAAGGTATTATTATTTACCAATATTATAGGTCACTATTTTGTATTTTATTTATTAATTCTATTTTAATGTAATAGGTTTGCGTGTGTTAGATACTTTACCGGATAAAACTCAGAAACCTAAACCTACTCCATCACCAACGTTAAAATCAAAACCAAAAGCTGCTGCCAAGAAAGAGAACTTCGTCAGTTGGTACTCGAAACACAAGAATGACATGCATGAGGAGTTTCCTGAATTAAATACAGTTGAGTTGACAAAGATTGCCTTAAAAAGATATAAAGAAGTGGATGCTTCCCCTCAAACTTCCACAGAAAAAGTCTCCGACGTCAAAAAGCGGAAATTATCAGACACCGAATCTGATCTGGATAGTCAGCCGAAACGTGCCACACAGAATAAGCTTAGCAGTTTTACTTTCGATAAATAGAAACGGGTAATAGCTTAGATTTAAAAAATAATGTTAGAGTTTAACACAAATAATAGGCAAAAGTTTTTGTTAGTATTTTAGTACAGCGACAGTGAATAAGAATGCATATAAACATTAGAATTAATCCTTATGCGAATGTGATATTAATATAATCTTATTTTATGATAGTAAGACAAGATTTTTTTATTATACTTAGTTCGACTAAGTTTGACGTTGTTTAATAATGCAGCTATGTAGATTTGTATTTGAACAAACATCTTCCACGTGACTACAGTCAAAATAAGCGAAAGCTATCGTACCACCAGAAGCCTTTACAGGAAACTTTCCGCCCACCATCACGTCGTTAAAACAGAATGGAGGCAATTTTAGTCTTCCCTTTAGTTCGTCCTAGCACGTTGAAGCATAAGTACACAGAGTGGTATGCAGTGAACGAATACATCATCTTTGAAGCAAAACTATAAATACGTTAAAAAATGACTGAGAGCACGAAGAAAGGTAACTAGCCAGATTTAACACAAAGATACAATACTTCCTCTTACAATTTACAACCGTTTCTATTTATAAATTCCTGGCATGCCTCTAGTTGCATCATCGAAAAAGTGCTAACGGATCCGACTTATCCGGCATGCTAAAAAGTCATTGAGTTACTACTAAGAAGCACGTTGATCAAGTACAGGAAGCAATATTTATCTAAAATTGCTTTTGTAGACTTATATCTTCCGCTTACTATTTAAGTAAATTTAATGTGTAAAGTATAATGACAGTTTAGGTCAAGATTTTCCAGACTTCTGTTTAGATCTATTCTGTTTCCTTTGACCTGTATTTATATTGTATTTGTAACCGGAGCCGACCGCATGTTCGCACTGCTTTTTCTGTATTCCAAAAGGCGTCTTAGCGTTTAGAAATATTGTTGAAAAACATTATGGTACTTTTGGTGGCATTAACATATTCTGCATATCTAATTTTGATGCCTTTTGAATATAATGGTATTACGAAATAAAAAATGTATAATCACTATTGCGAATATTAAATATTTAAATCAACAGTACAAGAATGCATACCTACAGTTGCTTATCTATTTCGAAAAGTGAATACGTGATTTTTAAATCATTGTATTTTTCTCTCAGTTTTGATAAAATGCGGATTGATAAAAATCATTAACAAACCAGTATCGCCATTTAAAAATTCATCTTTACCGATACCTTATGTGAATCACGTACTGATAGCTGTGTAAAAATTAAAAAAAAACTATGCGGTTTGTGGCTTTTAATATGATCTGGAGATTATATTATATTTGACCAGTGGTTTATAAACTGCTTTCATAAAATAAATATCAATATAATGTAATGGGAGCATGTTAATTCTCATATTTCTTAACGACGTTCAAGTATTTAATTGAAAATCATTGGTTTAAAACGACTATTTCATTATCAGGTTATTTTAAAATTTATTTACATTATAGATCATGCTCCACTGGATGTTATTCAGGAAGCCATGGGCGTTTTGGGCCCTTGGCATATCATAATTGCCGTTGCGGTATCCCTCGTTAAGTTTCCCGTAGCTTGGCATCAACTTTCCATAGTTTTTCTTGCACCGCCAGTTAATTTTACATGCGTTGCACCAGCTTCTTTTAAAAATGAATCAAATTCAATGCAATGCTATGTCGCCGTTGAAAACAATATCACGGAGAAATGTACGAAATTCAACTACGATCGTAGTATATTTCATGAAACCATAATTACGCAGGTACTTATTAAAATGTATTTTTTAGATTCTCTTATATAAAATTTAATAAAATAGACTGTAATTAATTTTTTTTTAATTTTCAGTGGGATCTCGTTTGTGACAGAGAACAATTGGCAAATTTTGCGCAATCGTGTACAATGTTCGGTATTCTTGTTGGAAACATGATATTTAGCATGATGGCTGATAGGTTTGTATATATACTATTGATTCGATTACCATTGACATTAATATATCAAATCATGTATATCATTGATTTTATATTTAGGATTGGACGCAAAATTCCTTTAATGATTGCTATTATTTTACAAGTATTGACTGGGATATTGAGCGCATTCGTACCTTGGTTCGAATTGTTTTTGGTATTGAAATTTATTTCAGCAGTAGCTACCGGTGGTACTATGCTCGTCAGTTTTGTTTTGCGTAAGTGAATTTATGCTTGTTGACTTTTCGTTTAATGTTCATTGATGTTTGAATATCAATAACAGTGAGATTATATGTTTTCAGTTATGGAGATTATTGGAATACAATGGCGCGGAACGCTCTCAGTTTTATTCCATGTACCATTCTTACTAGGACATCTATTGAACCCCTTGATTTCTTATTTAACACAGACCTGGTATGGATTTCAAATAGCAGTATCAATCCCACCGATACTATTGTTGTCTTATTACTGGTAAATATATTAAACATGAATAATCGCAACGTACAGAATATCATTAATTATAACTATCTTACCGTTGATCAATACACATGCATATAGATGCCTGAGTAAATCCATATTTTTGAAAATTCAAATTTCTCATACTCTCACTAAGCACGCTTAAGTTTTTCCTTTTCTAATGAAACATAATGTAACTTGTTATTTTAACTCAACTCTAACTCATGAGGGTAATGCAATTAACCTTTTGTCTTTGTTCTAATGACAGCACTTAACTCGTTAATGAAACGAAATAAAATCGACGGAACTATATAGTCCTCACTCTTGCTTCTTAAAAGTATATTATCAAATAGAGTATCATTTCCATAAACTGTACAAATATCCATTTGAACTATGGCTGTTATAATTATTAATCATAAATAATATAATAATTGATTCGAAATAACGATTTCAAATTTAGGATCGTTCCAGAATCGCCAAGGTGGTTGCTTGCTGTTGGCAGAGTAAAGGAAGCAGAAGACGTATTAACAAAAGCAGCAAAACGAAATAAAATTCCACTCGGAAACGTAAAAGCAGCCATAGAGAGTCATGAAGATCAGGCTAAAAGCACAGCTGAAAGAGCGAAAGAAAAGTACAATATGACCCACTTATTTAGGACACCAAATCTTAGGACCAAAACTATCTACATATGTGTCAATTGGTTTGTTTGCGGTACATGCTTTTTTGGATTGGCTCAGTACATGGGACAGCTGGCTGGTAACATATTCGTGAACGTTGCTTGTTCAGGTAAATTTTCCATTTTCTGAAATAGCATTACAATATTAAAGTGCAATATAAAAATAACAGTAATAAATGTCTACTATCTATCGTATACTTAAATACTATGATTTTAGCTGCTATGGAATTACCAGGCACATTTGTGGTTCTTGCGTTGATTTCACGAGTGTCTCGCCTAAAAATTCTCATGGGTGGAAACATATTGTCTGGCACAAGTCTTTTGCTAATAACAGTTGTATCTGATCCGACCGCTCGAGTGTGTTTGGCTAGTTTAGGACTGGCAGGAATGGCTATTAGTTTTCCAACTGTGTACTTGTATAGCAGTGAAGCATTTCCAACAGTTGTAAGAAATGTTGGCGTTGGTTTGGCCAGTGTTTGTGCTAGAGTTGGAAGTATAATAGCACCCTATATAGCAACTATGGTAATTATATATGTATTTATTTGTTACCATGCAGAACATCAATGTTTGGATAGAAGCAATCTTCGGTGATTTAATCTTTCATTTATTTCAGGGCATCATTGAACCCTGGTTACCACCAGTATTGTTTGGCGTAGGTCCATTAGTAGGAGCTGGTCTTTGTTTATTATTACCAGAAACCATGAATTCTGATTTACCGGAAACCATTGAAGACGGGGAGAATTTTGGAAAGTAAATTATTTTTATAGTGATCGTTTATTAGTAAGAGACCTGTGAAGGTAACGTTGTAATCTTTACTGCATACTTTACCATTACATTGCTCATGGGTATTGTGCTACTGCATCAATTGACAAATAGATAATACTTCCATATCACCGTGATAACATAGGTACTTGTAATTGGTATGTTATGCTGTGATAACGTTTAATTAGCATGCGATTTAGTATAGTTACATATGTGCAATGTATAAGGGCCACTTTGACGAGACAGCTTTGGCAATAAATTTTTATAAAAATTGAAATCTGTAAAGATAAATATTTATACTGAACAATTTCTGACTGCAATACACTGGTAATATCGTCTAAAATTGATATGCACTATTCCATTCTATATTGCTGGATACGTATGCATCGTGTCTATATTTTTCAAAATATTTTAACAAGAGAAATAGGTTTTTGAGAAAGGTAAATAGGTATTCTTAACAAGTTTTTACATACATGCCTATGCATTAGCCATTTATACTTTCGGATAGCTAATATACTTTGAGGGGCCAATTTCTAATTTTGCTAAGTGCATAAAAGTCCCCGAAATGTGGTATTAACGTTGCAACTAAATCATACAGAGTTATTGAAGAATATTACGCTATGAAGTTGTATTTACTATCAGATATCAAAAGGCCCATTTCACGTGGTGCAGCATTTCGGAGTAATCTTATATACCTATACTCTCTTATAAGGGAAAAAAATTACTCGGTTATAAGTTGATTATTGTTCGAGTTTAATATTGTTTTTATTTATATATGTATAGGTATATAAATATGTATATGTATGCATTTAATTCTTACTTTCCTATACATGGAACAATCGCTCATATGCGTATAGTATATAATTATTTGACTTATATTAAATGTAAAACGAAGAGTGACTATATACGAGTGAAATTTTTTTAATGTCAAGATACGACACGTACATTAATTATTAATGTTCCGTATGAAAATACAAAATACCTATAGTCTTTAATAACGCAACTAGTTCAAGGAAACTACGATTTTTAAAGTAAGATATTAGAATCACCGCATATACATATTGGGAAGACAGATCTTTAACATTATTTTACGAAATTTACAAAGACCATTCGATGAATGATGAATATTCGCGACGAGAAGTCAAATGTTATATGAAAATGTATATAAATACAATTACAGCAATCAGCCACATACATGCTGTCGCATCAAGACAAATATCTCGATTTGTATCATTCGTATGTACTCTTTGTCTATAAAATTATCCAAATTGCTCAAAGCTAACAGATAGAGCAATAATTTTTTTCCAGTGATTATTTCATGATGGATGTACATCATGTGATGCTTTTACCAAAAATACAACAAACATGGATATCGATTGAGTAGCGTCTTAAACAAATTTTGCAAATCACAAAATTACCAGTAAATCTCCCTTCAGACTATTTACATACGAATAGATATGGAACTTTTAATAATGGAATGTGTTAGAACACATTCAGGCCTTTTTGGTTTGATAAGTTGTTATTGACTTTTAAAGGTTTCCATCTGTTATATTTTATTTCCCATTTTTTACGTATGCGTTTGCCCTAAGTAAAGTACTTTGTTTGGCAATCCATTCACGACACCATTAGTTTTCTTCTGAACCGCATCAAACATTTGATTGCCATATTTTACAGTGCTGCTCAAAGAACCGAGCCAAGATGACATAATGCTCTTTGACGGTGTTTTTTCAAAACATGAAGGCGAACCTTAAAAAAACACAACTGACATGAAATTGAGGAATTATATAATCGAATGCCAGTGATTATAACTGTAACTCACCTATTAAAAATTTCATTATTGCTTTATTCACCATTTCCGGTTTCTCTTGATGCGGAAAATGCCCTCCGCCGGTAATTATTTTTGCACTAAATTTCTCCACATATTCTGAACTTTGAACTATACTTTCTAAGGAAACAGACGGATCCACATTACCGACTATGACTAGTATTCGTGTATATATCGGTTCATTATTATTCGTATTTAATCTCGTGAATGGTAAATTACGGTAATAATTAATTGGACCTGTCCAGTCCTCTGTAAAAAAATATAAATAATACTCAGCATTGAAAATAACATATATTAAAAAAAGAGAATATCATACCTTTTCTACTGAATGCATATTTGTATGCTTCCACATAATTATTTTCATTATCCGTTTGATTAATGGACAAATGTTTATACGTGTCATTGATCACAGAGAGATCTTGTTTCAGGGCATCTATTTCCGGTAAAAATGGTAATCTGCTAAAGTGCATCCATCTGGTAAACAGAACAAGGCGTGATAAATGATACTGGAAGATTTACCACTGTCATATCGCTTTTTTAAAAAGTATAATGAGTATATGCTTGCGTAAGAATATTTTTTAATTTCGATAAACAACTAATCAGTAATAACTAATCTTATCTTTGTTATAGTATGACATCCAAAGTTATCAGTCATTTTGACTTACTTGCCATCAAACGCGCCATCACCTGATAAACCATTCCAATAAAAATTTGGATGTGGACTTGATATAGCTATGAATTTGGAGACCATTTCTTCGTGCAGAGCTACCATATACCATCCCAAAAGGCCACCCAGGTCGTGACCAATGATCGTGCATGATCTCACACCAAGTGCAAGAATGAATTGTTTCAGTTCGTCAATTAATATTTCAATTCTGTACGATCTTCTGGTTAATGGTTTGTCGCTGTCGCCAAAGCCTTTGAGGTCTAACGCGACCACCCTAAACAAAATCAGGCATGATATTAATTTTTATAATAAGAAGCATCCTTAAATTGATTTAACTATACACTGTGTATCATAGTGTAATGTACGTTGTAAGAAAATATTCTATGCACCTGTAATGATCAGCAACTACTGGTATTTGTTCTCTCCATGACAACCAGCAATCAGGAAAACCATGCAGCAACAACAGAAGTGGCTTCTCTTTGTCGCCGGCTTCCACATAATGAAATTTTATACCCTGGAAAAAAAAAGATCCTAACAATGGAATAACTTCTTAGTTATCGTCTGCGCTTTATGTATATCGTAGATACTAAGTATTTAATTACGAGCAATTTTTCCAATAACAGGAAAACGAGCGACTCGTTAAAAACTTTCAATTAAACAGTCAGTAACATGAATTCATATGCTGCTCCAGATCTTTATGTCTTTGAGTAGACAAAACAACGGCTCCTTATCACGTCAGTGTTCATCCAAACGTGGAAATGCAAAGTTGTTAATTAGTACAAGATAAGAAGTAGCCACTGTCTATCTGATATTAATATTATTTATTTACTCCTATCAAACTGGTATATTTTCGAAATTAAATGAATGCGACATTACCGACCGAGTAAGGTAGAACAAAGTTCAGCGAATGAAGTTATTAAATAATAAAATTGCATCACAAAGTACCCATGTGAATTTGTCATCGACGGCAATCAATCAGAAAACGTTATTAAGAAAAGCTCATTGTCTTTATCAAACATCGAATGATCGTGTTATACTTAAAAGGCGACATCAACATTCAGTCTGGTCGACTCGTTATCAAAGGTCAAGTGAAACTATATGTTTTTATCAGAATCTTTACTTCGTAAACCAAAGAGTTAACCTCTCATATTTTAAAGTATTATCAAACTTGGATTCTACAAGTAGAAATGAATATTCATAAACTTACTTTCAGTTTCATATAAGAATGTTTACCCAGGTTATTATCAACCAGACACAGTGGTGGATTATCTCGTTGTTGTAGGACAAAAAATTGTTTTGGGTCCCATGCCCATTTGATAAATCTCTTTACTATAAGATAAAGGCCGTACACGAACGATAGAAAATGAAGCTTCACCATTTCCCACACAGATACACTCACGATCTTTTCAACCTCCATACTTTTTTTTTATACAATAAACCACAATGTGTAAAATTTGTTGGAAACAAGTAGAACTTCTTCGCTGGTTTTCACTCTTCATAAAATTCTTCGTTTCTTCTATCAATATCACGTTTATAATGGTTACTTTTCAGTGTAACCTTTTTCATACCCGTGTGTCTCCGTACGTATAAACTTCCGAAGAATCGATACTTATTTCACACCGAGTTTCTCATCCGTCGGTTCACAGCCGACTGCGAGCATCGGAGCGGACACGTGTATCACGGCTATTTTCTTTTTTCAAAGAGCGGGCAAAGGTCAGTAACGTCACGACAGCACTGATTAACGATTATGAGAATCCAGTGTTTAACAAGACATTACCTACTGATAGTCTTTCCTTAAATGCTAATTTACTATACTGATCACTGTACTGTTAAGAATGAACTTCCTAAGCGCGTTTGCCAGAAGATGAGTCACTGACGACACGTGGGAAGTCTAACGTATTTAACTAACCTTATACAGTCCCGATATGACTTATCAGATTTTATCAACTTTCGAGTAAGCAAAGTTCTCTGGAATTTAGTGATGGCGTCAGAACACAGAAAAGTGTCATCCTCTAGAGTTACGTGACGATCTTGAAATACGCAAATTTGTTGATATATATTTTCATTGCGTCATCAGAAATTGACCACAGATAAAAAATTATAATAAACATTCTTTGGTTGTTCAATGTATAATACATAGATATAGAATATCGTAAATTTTTATTTCAATTTTGTTACAACTGATTTTATTACGTATCATATAAGTTCCTTGATAAGATTTCGATTTGTGATTGTAACCAATGAAGGATAGTCGCTTTTGACAACGTATTAATTTTCTACTGCAATTTCAGTTTGAATGCTACGAATGGAAATACAAATCTCCATTTGTGATCATGTGTCCTTTAATCGTGTCAGTCTAGCTCGTAGCTCTTCTGCATGAGACTACGATCCATCAGGCATGCTTAACTCGTTTATATTTCTCTTTGAGAACCAACCGTAGTCTGCTACATTTTCCTAACGCTGAGGGGCTTTTACTTCAATGTGAACTGCGCCCGAAGGCTGATACCATTATAAATATAAAGTAAGGGCAATAATTCTTGAAACATAAAACAAAAACACTGCTCGATATCATGTAAGAATTAAAAAATATATCTCTACTATAATAGTAATACACGAAGCCGCGATACTTTGTATAATTTAAATACAGATACATGATTGTTTTGTCTCCATAAAATATACGTATAAACTTTGACGTACGTTATCTTACTCTGCGGTTTTATTAGCCAATTAGCAACTTTGCAAACAGAAAACGACTTTTAAAAATTTCAGTGGAAAGATGGAAGATTTTTACTGCTACGTTAGGATGTACCTTATTTTTTTTTATGTTTCGATTGCATCGAGGGTGTTTGTTTGATCCCCTAGTATTCATGGATATCACTGGATGGGAAATGAACACGAAGAAAAAAGGGGGAAGGATACGTGACTGCTCGTAGGGACGTATATCGAATGATTCAATTACAATCTCATTTCGTCTGTTCCATTCGGAAGGATCCTCGTTTATTTTCTCGGCTGGCTTGTTTGCCGCATCCGATGCTGCGGGCAATATCGATTCTCTTATATTATTTTTATCGTATTTTCTCCACGGGACTCTTCATTTTTCTATCGACTTTGTTATGGCAAACGATCAGAATGAACTTTCAATTATTAATATATTGACATGGATGCGTTCTTCGTTTCGAAAATCTTTGTAGTATTAAGATTTTCACTTTAACCGATCTTGAGCAGATAATTTTTTTTTAATATATACATACGCTATGATTATTTTCAAATGGTAAGGCTATTTTGAACAACCCTATACATGTATGGTAAATATATGATTTTTTTAAATGTGACCTAATAGTGTTTATCGAAGAGGTTAATAGGTTGGACATCTTATGAGATATAGTGTCTCGCGAATTAGGCTTTGCAGACGCTTACGAATTGACTTTACCTATTGAAATGTTATAAATAGATATATATTCTATTTATGAAAATCACGAGACAGAATACAGGGGCATGTCTGGTCTATTTATATTCTGTCAAAACTAATAGATACGGATGTTTATTGTACCTATAAGAAGTATTAGAAGTGCTACGGTAGCGTCAATGTGAACTATATTATACGAAAACAAATTGTAGTTCTTCTGTTGGTTATGTAGAATATTAAATTCTAAATGCAGCGGCAGGAGATATATGAAATATTACGTCGATATGGTAGGTCTCTAAATAACGCATCGATACAAGCATTGCTGGATAATATTTTACGTTTTTACAATAATGTTAGGTTACAATAAACAATATATAATTATTTATTAACAAATATGTCAATGAACTTGTAAAAAACATGGCAGCGGTGGGATTCGAACCCACGCCTCCGAGGAGACTGGTGCCTTAAACCAGCGCCTTAGACCGCTCGGCCACGCTACCTATTGTTTTTATGAAGTTAAAAATAAATGTTAATCCGAATATGTTCTATTTTTAATAAAATATTACACCCTTTCGTAATCCTAAGTAAACACGTGACTGAATCTATACAGATATTACTAGAGTTTCTGAAACATAAATAGAAACATCCAAATACAATTTTTCATGCAATATTTGAATTAAAAAAAAATGGTATCACCCCATGATACAAGTATTTTATCATCCCTTGAATAATCACAATTTTTACTAATCTAAGTAAATCTCACAAAAAGTTGTACAGTTTATCACGATCGAACAAGTCGCATTCAAAGGTCTCCCATGTTGGGTATCAAGAGTGTTAAAAAGCATAAAATATTAAAATCCTGTAGAGAAACAGTTTTTGGAGCACATGTGATGGGCGTAGTAGCTGGATTAAACAAAGGCTGTCTCGGGCGGAGCTTTCGATCCATCCCTCGTGGACGCATGCGTGGCAATATTTCAAGCCATGTCACGTAACGATAGAGCCGCCACGAAGACCAGAGAGGAGAGAGAGAACACATACCTATTTTTTCGCCAGGGGCGCAACTCGCCTGACAGCCATTTTGTTGCAACTTAATATTCCCCACTCATTTTGTAACTCTATATGTACGCGATGGGTTCAATTGTTCGTATTCTTTGTTCGCGCAAATCTACGTGTTAATCAAGTCGGTTAGGCTCGTTAGAAGGAAGTGCGATGCGTGACTATCCCTGCGATGACATTACCAGCTATTCCAAGTCAGATTAGTCATCGATCGGTAATCATTACCTAGTAGATTCTACAGGGTGGTCTTACAAATTGAAAGTCAATCCAATTAGGTGTGGCGCACAGCTACCATTTACTATGCTTCGATCAGTCTTGATTCAGATCAGAAAGTATCTAGATAAATATCGTGATTACGTGTAACTTATTTTATCATTATTAAAGTACAGAAATGACATAACAATCGAAAGTAATATCGATACTATAGATACACGTTAAATTGATTTCCATTCTTAAAATACGAATTCTTCAACTACAAAAATACACTCATATAGCATAGAGTCAATTTGCAATGAACAGTCATTAAAAGTATAATCGTTCGTGATTGTCATTAAGAAACGCCATCGCGCCTATGATTATGTCGGGCCGATTAATCGAGATGGCGACATAACCTCGAATTTTGCCACGGTACGACAGCAGTTCCCTTGGTAAATTAATCATTTCAGCAGCTGCTGTCATATTAGCAAGAGCGGATAAGACAAATGAACGTCGTGGAGCTTGTTAAGACGTAATCCGAGAGATACGTCGTGGTCCTCTCCCTTTTCGCTTCCCGTCAATTTTCTCTTTCTCACTCTTACAGCCTCACTCTACCTACCTCTTATCCAGCTTTCACCCATGTCCATCTCATCGTGGATTACATTATTAAGGGATCCCGCCATTTTGACTCATGGTCCTCGTCATCTGTTTACATGAGTCTACGAATTTTTATTTATTTTATATCAATTCCAGAGACACGACGGCCATCTTGTTCACGTCCCTTCAGAAACAGTTTTCTCAGTGATCTCCCGATAGTATCTCGCGGCAAGAGAAAAAAGAAAAATGGTCTCGGACAACCGAAACCCACAGTCCGCTTCGTCCGTTACGAGTGTTACCGTGATTTCGAGCTTCTAAAGATTGAAGATAGTGTCAATGCGGGCGCCACCGTTTACAACGAGCGGAGTGAATCATTTTAAAATACTTGGAATGACTACGAGTAACATCTGGTGTCTAGGTTGTCCTTCTCTTCTGTATAGAACATCTACCGGATACGAATAATCTATCATGCTATCAAATAATCCAAAAAAATTTTCAAGAGTGCTTACGAAGAAGCGCAGAACTGTTTCTTTGCCGTGGTATTATCGCCATTACTGCTGTCACTCGAGGTATGTAACCATCTGTCTTTTTACTATGGATACTGTATATCTATATATCTACTTACATTATGGCTGATATTTCTTCGGCTATAAGATACATCCTACTCCCTGTCCTCGTTCCTGGATTCAAACCTTCCCTTTGTCAGAGCTAGTATTACGGCTCTCCATTTTGTCATCCCCTCGGTGAGTTTCAATGTTGTAACCATGGAGACGTCGCGTTTCCGCAGGGAGACGTGTAAGGGGTGTTGGTTGTAGATAGGTAGATGGTTAGGTAGGTAGGTACAGCGTCGGTAGATATGTACGCATGGTGACGCAGCCATTGTTAAAACTCGTGACGTGGCTATGCGGACGCATGAAAACCGGATGAAAACTCAGCCCGTTTATAGCTCGGATAATCACTTTTACGTGCACGTTAATATTTCGTGTATACTACGCGTAGACGTCGCTGCGCAAACTATGTTGCGCACTCGACCGTTTCTAGAGAATTTAGCGTAATTTTGTTGGTGGCAGTGATGATGTAGAGAACTGCTGCGATATTTAAACGTATATAAAATTTAATCGATTAATTATATACACTAGGGTTTTATGTTCGGTCAAATTTTCAGAGATGAATACGTACTCGAATCTGTCAATCGTTTTAAGAGTCTCGAGACCTTCGTTCTCGTCGTTAACTGGCGAATTAGGGCTCCTCCATTCGTAATGAGACACTCCATGGGAATCTTATGATTATCTGTCATTACGATAATAGAGAATAATAGAGGAGCCTTCTGTGCTCAGAACGTTTCACTCGAAGTGTATTATCAGAGTTTTTCTATCTTATAGTGGGTATGTAAAACTTATCCGGTTATCTTTGAGTGGTACATAGGTATTTCATTATTGTATCGTGGATGTATATTAAATTGATCAGGGATATACTATTTAATAAGAATTTTTTAAAATTTTTAGCAACTAAATTGTTGTGCCTGTTTTATGTTTTCTGTATGAGAAAATGACTTGTTGCAGAATTTAATTTGTGTGTGGTAAAGGAAGAAATGAAATTTTACGTTCCGAGTGAAAAGGCTGCTTGGAATTTGGGACCATGTCACGAATGCAATTAGTGACTGATTTGTCAAGCACCGCGAAGTCCTTCACTATAATAGCGAAGTGCTCTTCAGTCGCTCAAGTACTCTTCCGGAAGCGACTGCATTTTGATTTTTGCTCAATATGCTTTCTTAAGGTGCAAGACAATTTTATTGCAAGCTGCATTTTGCGTTAACGAACGTTTCGGTATGTCTTTTTTCTTTTACCTATTATTTTTCATTATCTTTTTTGTACTTGTGTCGCTGCCATTCTCCTGGCATCGAGGAGCTTTTCATGTCGAGTGGGTTTAACGAAGGCGAGTTTTTTATGCAAGATATTAAATTTATGAGACGTCTTGCAATAACGTTACGTGACCATAGAATTTGAATGTTATTAAACTGTTTTAAAGTTTTGAGTGGCAAATTTCTTGTTTCGCGTAGTCGCGAAGATCTCGCTCTATAAAGTTATTCTGCATCCGTCGGAACCAAGTTGGGGAAAGTTTCAGTATCGATAAAAAGTATACCTAAATTATTCTTTGCTTCTGTTAAGAACAAAAATAAAACAATGTGTCGTAATAATGATTGCTAGGGATTTAAAATTTGTACAAAAAATGTTATTTTCCACTTTTAACATATTTGGGTATCAAAAATTAGGCTTAAAAATTTCTTTCTCGACTTACGATTATTCGAGAACAAAACTTGTTGGTACCGATGACAGCGACATTAATTTTTAACAAATTCAAAAAGAAAATATCATTTGTATCGAATATCGCAATTTGAAAGCCGTATCAACCTAATCGTTATAGAAACGCCATTGAGCCGTTCAATAGAGACACGACTTCGGTCTTGAAAACGAGATACCCCGAAATACCTAACTTAAAAAAAACTCAAAATTTGTATCCGTAAAAGTTTGTCGCGTAGCTACATTTCAGAAGATTTATATTACAGACAAAGGAAAAATGGTGAAAATGTTGACGCGTTGCTCGATGTAACCAGATTCCCATTAAAGTAACACCTTTTGTGCGAAGTCGCACGCATTGTGTCCCGATTATTGTGCGGCAAACGCGTTACAATGCATTGTATTAAATTCACTCAACATTCTGAAGCGCATGTAACACCTGGTAGGTGTAACGTTGCCGCCATTTCCTATTACCAGCATAATTTGATACATATCGTATAAGGATCTTTTGTGGTTCTGTTATTCGGTACAAAACGAACTTTGAAAAACCAATCTTCAAATCTTCGATGATGTATACAATTTCGAAAACTATCTTTAGATCGTCAAAGATTTCCACATCAATTTTTTTCTGCCACCCGATATATAGAAAAGATTCGTGATTGTTTTTTTCTACGAAAAATCTTTTTCAAATTATTTCTTTTTTCCATAACCGTGTAAAATATTTTTGAAAAATATTGTAAATCTTAAAACTGAACATGCACAAGGTAGTTAACATTGCAAGGATTTCAGTCACGTAAAAAGCACTGTAATCTCATTACTTGAAAAAGAACCTCCATGTGGACCTCGGTATAACGTGTCTTGGTCCCGACAAACCCTATAGACTCGAGAACCTATAGAACCAAACTCAATATGGCGGAGTCAATTGAATGCTCGTACTTTAGGGGTCTCTGCCACCCTCTTTGGTCCTTTACCAACCTTACTGACTCTCTCTCTCTATATATATATACATACGTATATATCTCTTTATCACTGTGTCTCTTTTCATAAGTCTGCTTCTCCCGTAAAGGCACTCACCCTATCTCAATTTCTCTCCACTACATAATAGAGACACAATCAATAGTTACATCCACGCGCGAAACGCTTTAGCTCACCTCCTCATCGACTTTGAATGACACACACGCGACCCTTGGATAGCAACCCCCGGTTCACTCCTACGACACATTATCCCTGAGTGAAAAGCATGGGGGATGTCGCCATTTTGTTTCGTCCAAGTTTTTACACGCTGGCTGTTAGCTTATGCAATTGAAAGAAAAAACATTGCAATTTTAAAATTTTCAATTGCCATTGATTTTTCAGAAAAAATAAATGTTAAAATTTCTAACACCGAACGAAAATTAAAACATCGAAATAACTGCAATATTCTTTGACTAGTGAAAAACAACATTGTTTTCCGTGTCGCGCTCGTTGTGAAAATTTGAGCGAAATCTATTGCAGGTGATTCATAAGACAAAATTCTACAGTCACGTACCTCGTACCGGAAACAAAATAAAAATCAGCACTCAAGTGCTCTTTCCAGAACACGTAATTCCCGTATTTCACTTTTTTCCCCCTGGTAACAACGGTATCCCATCAGCGCGCCGTTCTCGGCCCTCGGGATTCTTTTTTGTTTCGCGCTCTGCTCGAGCATTGTTTCCGCGATTCGTCGAGGAAATGACAAACAAATGAGCAGCTCTGTTCGCCATCCCGTCGCCATGGCGATGAATAAATACCCCATAGCGACTGACGGTCTCGCGGCTTCTAGCAACCCTGTCGACACACGAGAAAAATCTACGTTTCACATCGTTCCCTCAATTTTTCCTATAGACAAGACAGATTCCTGATTGATCGTAATTTTTCATTCGTTATAACATTCTTTTTGATTTTTAAAAAATTCATTAAATATTTTCCAAATTTTTGAAAAAAATCCCATTTCTTTTCCACAAGATCGTTGACGATAATAACAAAAAAGAACGATCCGAAGACGCATAATTTATTGCATTACATTGTCACTGAAAAACATTGCTGACCCATCGTACTGTAACAAGCTTTTCAGAAAAAAATAAAAATATCAACCAAGTACCAATCGCACCTGTAGTGCATTCCATGATTTTGTTTCTTGGTAAATAAAAATGATTTTGGTATGTACAACAAATTTTTTTATTACATGTCACTAATCAGGGTACCGGTACACGGTCATATTGACGGTGGTCCATTTTAGTAATGTCTCCTGGCACTTGATCCCCACTTAGGGGAAATAAATCCAAAAAGAAAAAATAAGAAGTCATGCCTTACTTTCGTATTAGCGTCGCTCCGAGATGTATAATGGATATAATTTCGAACTGTCGACAAGTGCAGAACAAGCAATGATAATTCACTTGGTATCAGAGTCCAGAATCAGTATTTCGACCGCACTCCATCTGCCACTCATAAGAACGATCGAGACAAAACCGTCCTTTTATTAAAATTAACGCCGTATAACGCCAGAAATAACCAACTGGTAATCGATAACCAGCCGATTGCGTTACCGTGTGATTTCCTGTATAATTTTGTATATCCAGGCTACTGTCAGATTCGCGATATACAACGAAGTAAAAACCGGTTGGAAAAATCGTACCAACGAAATCGCACCTCGACAGTAGCAAATTGAGAGCGTCGCTAATTCCGAACCGCGACGAATGAATTTCCTACGGTGCTTTATATCGGCAAGGTCGAAAATCCCTTCGGAAGACTTTAATGGCGAATACGAGTGCTATGGCGTCTCGTTAGCGGCGATGACTCTTCGAGTTTCGAGACAGCACTCCAATGGGTATTGTTGAAGATCAAATATATATATATAGTATTGTACTAATACGTATATATATGTATGTATATGTATTGTGAAAATTGCGGTAGTCAAGAGTCGGTTACAGATTGACGCACGAAACATATGTTAGTTCAATTATTTCACCAGGTCTGTTTACGGGGGTAGAGCTTACTTAAATATATAAATATTTTCAAAATAAATTTTTATTCTAAAAAATTTCTAATAATTATAATCCAAATGAATGAAAAACATTTTTTTATTCTCATGGTCATCGACCTTAACTCTTCGAATGGCAAGAATTGGTGGAATTGAAAAGTCACGTTGATAAGTGGGTAACGAGTTCGTTAATGGTACAGAAACGTAGTACTCATGGCAACCCCGTAGAGTCCAAAGTCCAGCCATAGGGCGACAAAACCCATTGACTTCGCTCATTGATTTTACGTCAATCTGCAAGCACCCTTGTGGGGTCTCCATGATGCGTTTACCATAAGCGATAAGGGGGAGGTCGCGACACACCCCGTGAAAGGGAAATAGAATAGAAATGACCCCCCATGGGAGTCGCATTAGCGACACATGGCCAAGTGACAAAGCCCTACCCCATAACCCAAAGGGATCTTGGGTATGTATACGGTTACATAACGTTACATGCCGCACCCCGAGCCCGGAGGGTTTGCACGAGGGGTTGGAATATATATGTAACCACCCTTCGAAAGGACGCCATTTTATAAGTAAAGTATTTCCCGACGCACCTCAAAATTTTGGTTTTATCTTTTCGAACAATTTTTTTTCATCGTTTCGTCGATTTTTCACATTTTTTATTATCAAAATTCGAATAAAATTCGTATTAACTTACAGTACTAATTATGTGTAAATATCATTTTTTTCTTTTTACATGAAACATCCAAAAATGTCACCCGCACTCTCGTCAGGTAGAATCATTCCTGACAAACGGTTCGGACATCAGGACCTTGTAATACGAAGATTTATCGATGAGTATCGAAATCCCTAGGATCTTGGACACCTGTTGTGTGAGACTGTCGTGTCGTGACCTACGTCGCCATTAGTCGCAGGTTGGTCCAAGTGAATTTTCATGTAAACGACATCCACCATAGATACAGGAGGTGTTATTGGACAGGGAGCCTGGATCCGAAGACAAAGGTTAATTTGGTACGTGTTGTAATCCGTCCCGTCGCACGGTCCTGGAACTCTCCTGCAGGATGACAGGATGAGGATTAGCAGCTTGTCCCGCCAAGGATTATATCGGATGCAAAAGGTTAATCAACGTTTTCATTGAGCTACCATATAACAGAGTAACGAACAATTAAAACTCCGAATATACATGGAAAAGTTATATATATTTTTTACAGATTCAAAATACTCCTGAGAATAATACCCAGTAGTACGCAGAATCACTCGGGGAAACAAGGATCGTCTCTGGATTCCACGTTAATAATCAGAAAATGGCAAAACCGGCCGATGTCACGTAGAGGTAATTCGGCACGCGTTCGCCGCGTCTATCAAATTGATTTCCACATCCCATTTAGAATGTATCTTTACACTCTCTGGCTTTCATTCGTATATAAAAGCCACGTTAAGCGGTATACCTACGAGCTACATAGAGAATAACGAATGATTTGATTTCGTATTTATATGAAAAGTGATTTTTATTCGACGTGTAGCTCGACCAGAAATGGGCATCGCGAATGCAGATTTCAATTTCGGCTTTAAGACGTTAGCTGTATGTATTTCAGGTACAAACAGCAAGTCGACGCAGTGGCGGGATCGAATCTAGGGGATTTCTCGAAACCGGAACTGACGGAAATAACTTGGTCGTTACTCGTGAGGGGAAACTGCTCCGCCGATCGTATTGAACGAAATTTCGGCTCGCTCGTGGCGCAATTATGCGTGTCGTCCGGAGAGTGGCGGAAGGTCGATTCGAAATTTAGACATGGATGTTCGATTCGTTACCAAGCTATAGATGAGTGCGGTATACCGTTGGTGTATCTACACTAGGTACATATACATATAGATATAGAGTAGCCATTCTGGTATCAGCGTAACGTAGACAAAATTAAATTCTGTAGTGAAATTGCCGCTTGCCTGGCATGCGTTTATACAGTGTAGTGGTTGGAAATTATGTAACCACAATAGTTGCGCTCAACACGATGATCATGTATTGCGTTGTAAATATAAGGAAATAATATTAGCTTATACGTCTGTAATGTTACTTATTCATTGGTTGTACATTTCAGGGTAAACAAAGTAGTGTGGAAACGGTAGCTGAGAAAAAGGGGTCTAGCAGGATATGACAGGACACTTTCAAAATGTCTGAAAATAAAACCCCAGGGAACATGATGAACATCACTTAACTGCCACTCCACTCCGTCGTGGGCCCAGGCTGGAGCCTCCCTAATTGAGATGCGCCAACAGCCAATCGGGCTACCAAATTATAGGGCCCCGGAGGAAAGCGATTGTCGACCAAACAGGGAGCACAAACAAACAGTAATGATCTAGCTTCGGTTCCTAGAAGGAAACGTGGAAGAAAATGGAAAAGTCAGACCTCCAAGTTACCCAGACAAACCCACCCTTCCTCGACTGGAAACCAGAAGAGGACACGCAGCGCCGTGAATGGAATTGGAGCCATGTGCCTTAACTACTCATTCAGCCTTAGATGGTTTAGAGATTAGATATCGAGAAAAGGGTCTTTTTGTTCTCTGAATGAGTTCTTCGGCGTCTTATGGCTCCCTACGTGTTATACCTACGACGAGGAGACGTGAAAGAGGACGTTTTATCATGGCTACCGATCGCACGTATGTCAGGCACGTGAGGTGAACGTTGACACAAAAATGGTCTGATTTATTAAGCTAGGAAATAGCGATAATAACAGCCTCCGCTAGTGATAATAATAAATCCTGGAGGGTACTCCTTCGCGACGTAGCGGTTGAATCTGGTGTGTACTATTTCAAAGGTCTACTTAGCATTCGGTGTCACGTAGCAGCCGGGGTTTAATACATCAAAAACTCCGCAATTCCCTTCGGCACCCTCGGGGGTACCGCGACATTCATTTGTTCTCTGTGCACCCCTCTCAGTCACGGTGCGTGCCTTTTGTTTCGTCGATACGAATTGTGATTGGACCGTTCGTGGGGTTTCGACGGCCATGGCAGCCTTTTCCCGGTCTAGGGATATCGGGCCAATAGCTTCCTCGAGGGCGTTCCTGGGCGGGATTTACACTGGGACCTTGCTGTTATTATTATACGGCATTGTTATCATTATACCGGTTGGGTTGGTAACAGTTTCCTGGCACAAGCTTCCTCGTCTTACCAATAGATGGTTCTTCCATACAGAATTTCTTGGGTGACCCGAGCGCACCACGTGTCCTCCATTGATTTCGCCTGACAAGCAACCCCGATCAGTCGAGACAGTCTCACCGGGACACTTCAGCGCCTGATCTCACCCACTGCCTTTTTCACGTATACAGTTCTTTCATTGTACAGAAATTAAGGAAAAATACATTCAAATTCTCTGGAACGACATGAGAGTGGTTGGCGCTTTTCGTCGAGCAGTTCTGGTATAAAGGTCAGAGGTTTTAATATCCTGGACAGCACACCCACTTAGTAGCGATAATTCGAATTAATAAGCACAAATTGGCAGGCCTTGACTATACCATATACATATCTTATGCAAACCATATGCACGTTAGAGGTCGCATCCCAGTTCTCTACGTCCGTTGCTGGATTTTATACGATAGTAAAATCATACGAATATTTGGACTTTTCTGAATCTGCCAGGAGAGTCAATCCTGAATTACTGATTTTATACCCAGTGGAGTTCTAACGTAACTCGATGTCCAACTGTGCAATATACACATTCCCGCACGGATACATATCTAGGTTGATTCGTACTTACGCACATATACCCACCAACTGGACGCACAGCACAAATGACACTCATTTGTACAGATAGTCATCGTCGTCATCTCGCAAAAAAAAAAAACCATGGCTTAACGACTGAGATGCGCATATGCGATATCTCGTCACAGATCCGTCAGTGATATCGAGCTCGCCTCAACAATGCGCCTACCGGAATTAAAAATGTATTACGCAAGGTGTCATTTACCAGCAATTTATCACAGCCATCCTCCAGCGCTGCCTGGAACAACGGTATCCTAGATTACCGTGTACTACACTCGACTGAACTTGCACCCTGGTACCAGTCTATACCAAAGCTATGATATCGACTTACTATATAGCGCAATCGACAATACCGACGCTTATAGGCGATGAGCTTACTAACATAACCTCCTAATCTTGGTATATTCTTAATTATAGGTTCGTACACATAATCCTATACTCATAGCTCATCCTTAGATACCTCATGGCTCCCGAACGGAGTGCCCATATCTACCTACCCATATATAGGAACCTGAAGTGAAAAATATTATCCGGCAAATTGGAGAGGCGCGTCGGGTCGTCGGCAGCCACCGCGTCAAATAAACATGTCAGGGGGAGCAATTTAGAACGCTAGAATGCTCCCATGCATAGGAAGCTTCGTCTGTCAGAGTGGCTGAGCTACGATGATGACGTTCGACCGCAGCTCGTCACGGGCTCACGCGGGACCCGATGCAATTGCGAACGTCGACCACAAGGCGAATCCTCACGAGCCGAGGAGAATTAAAGATTCCCAGAGAACGAGAGAGTCACTCCTTCGTCTCTGTCTCATTTGTCTTTCTTGTCCCCTTCTCTGACTTTTTTCTATCTATTCTTTTTATACTCATCTCCATTCCTCTCGTCTTCGTCCTTGTCCGTCTTCACGCTAAGAACTTTTTGCAACCGACTGTACGTCGACCATCCAATTGTCATTGTCGTACGGAGCAAATTTCTTTGTACGCATCAGAACCGTGGAATAATAATTGTATTTCCGAATAGTAATTGAGATTGCATGTACAGTGGGTAAGAGATGAAATGCGAATCTTATATAAATATTAAAATCACGTAAAATCAAGGAAACAGAGTAATGGCCCTGGCTAATTTTCTATATAGCACGTTGGCTGAAAAGTAGTTAGAAAAATGTTTTGGCCGACGGTGAGGCCATCGGGAGTGGGGTACATAAAGAACAAGACATGGATGGCGAGAAGGAATAAGACGGTGGAATCAGAGTAAGCAAGGGGGGGTGTCGAATTTAAATAATCTTTCAGACTTCGAAATAAGGGTGGCGCACCCTGTAATCTCGGCCACGTGCAGTATTGCCAACCGGAGGGGTGGCTGACTTTGGTAGGCAGGGGTGAGAGTTAAAGAGAAAAGAGAGTAACCGGGGACCTGGGTACGTGCTGGCTCGTGTCGAACCAGACGATAAGTATCTAATAGGAATGTCGAACGAGCTTGTAATACGTTACACAATGCTTCACAGAGATAGATCGAAGAAAATAGTTCTGTCTTATTATTCTATACTGATTGTTTGGACAATGGCGCATTGTGCGGTTTTGTAGATATACCATGGCGCGTCATCAACAAGAAGTACCGGAGCGTTGTGAGTGGCTTGGGGCTCGTGAAAATCATTGAAGAAAATCACTAGGATCTTCGATCGGGATCCTAGTGAAATCGTGGGAGACCGCAACGGCGCCATTATTGGCAGGCATAATTTTATTCTCGTTATACAGGACGTGCGAACCAGTTACTTTTTTTCCCTTTTTTTTTTAGTTTGGTTCATCTCCGTCTTCATCCTTCTTCATACCTCTGTCCTCGTCTCCAGGATGCCGACGAGGTCCAGGATGACTGGTGAGTTCGCATGCGTGAGGGCCAACGAGAAAATGGTCGAGGAAGAAGAGGAAGGCCGACCTGGGAAGAGCGCAACTTTCGAACAAGACCTCTGAAACAGCCTCTAGCCTCGCGTCCCTGTGATTCTCAGAAAGGCCAAGACACGTCCGATAGAGTCATCACGTCGGTGCTAGGATGGGGATGCCAGATAATGTTTTATTATAATATCAAATACGAAGAGGGACGTAGGAACATAAGAGAGGCCCATAAGAACAGATTGTGCAGCTAGTGTCCTGTATCGCAGCAGGGCATCTCTTCGAGCATGATCGATCTGACACGCACGAACTTGGTGCGTCATACACTCCTCTAGACGCCAACTTCTCGAGTCTTGCTCCTTTGCTTTTTATCAGCCGTAGGGTGGTACCACTTTGGACCCTGTCGAAGAACGGGGTAGAGTCTACGTATGAATATTCACGGGAAAAACATTGATGGAAAGTGGATGAAGATATTTATTTAGAAAATTCAATCTAATCAACTCAAAATTACTTATTTATCATCGGAGCAACCAGGACTCGGGTCGGGTACTCCTGGACCCTGTGGTATCATCCGGATGCCTGTACTACATCTCGGAGGAACGATGTGTTATCATAAGTACAAGATTGCGTGTTTCAATTATTAGTATGGTACTCGGTCGTAGATTGTTCTGTAGCGTCTCGCCGAGTAAAATCGCTTCATCATAATCGGTCATCCGAAGGTTTTTCTTCGTGGCAAGACCCCCTACTGCTTCGGCGGCCGGATATCTTCGCATCGAAATACCTCGCTGACAGGCAAAGAATTTGATATCGTGATTAGCTTGTTAGAGTATTTGTGTTACCGCGGGATGCTATTGTTTCATTTTTACTTACGAGGGGCGAGAAAGAAAAACCATAGAGCCTGTAGAAAGACGAAGATGAACGGGCTGGTATGCCGAACTACCCCTTATCTTACTTTTGCTTTCAGATACAATTACCGGTAATAATATTGATTAGTTAGAGTCATTTGTATTTCTACGTTTCTTCTCTGTGTGATAGTGTGATAACAGATCGTCTTCGAATATGCTTCGACTGATAACGCGATTAGCATTGCTGCAATGTCGTAGGTGCTACGATAATTCTTACACGCCACCCTTATTTGCATTTTGAGAAACTCTCGGTAGAACCCCCTACGTCGGGCCGTGGCTTCATTATCAAAGCAAATATTTTATAGTCGAAGCTGAGCGCGAAGGAAACGGCATCGACTATCGGTACTGGAGGGTTGGTTAGACTGAGAAATGGCGAGAGGGTGGGATACGAAGGTGACGGAGGTATGGAGGGCTGTAAGATAGGTAAGAGAGAGAGAGAGAGAGAGAGAGAGAGAGAGAGAGAGAGAGAGAGAAGACTGCCGATTTAAAGAGAGGAAAATAAAGCGCGAGATTTCTTTTCCTGTCTCCAATCTTTCGTTGAGAGCTACGAGACGACCACCCACCCACCCACTCACTTTTATATCTACCACCTTCTTTCTGCCGTCTCCTCTGCTCCCTTTCACTCCATCCACGTTGTGCCAGGGCTGCTAAAATAAAAAAGAATCCCTTTTCACTCGTTCCGCGATTTATTTTTCGACTCGTTTGTTTTACACCCCCTGCCTACGGCTGCGCCACCAGAGCCGATATTCCAGGTAAGCGAAGAAATCGCCGATAAGAATTAGATTTTTTACAGAAATTCACTGTTCCGTGTTTCTTGCGGGACGAATCTTTGTTTCCTACTTGGGATGATTTTTCGTTTTGGGACAAAACGCACTGGTCGTACCACTGATGAAGATTTTTGTAACTACGGATTTTGAGGGATGAAAATTTTTGAAATTTCTATCGAATCGAATATTTTGGGAGGAATGTATATTATTTTTAGTCTAACGATAGGTTAGTGAGTTCAGTTATCATTGTTGTTCCAGTATTAGACCGTATGGGCGGATGACATTCAGCAGCGAAAGGACCATTCGATCAATTTCCCTAATTCGTTTAAATTGATCCTTTTGCCGTGAAAGCAGCGCCGTGTATCCTTTAGGATTCGATTGAATCGTCAATTTGTCTAGCATTATCCACGACGTAGCAAGGGGCGGGTCTGCGTCTCCAAAGGATTTCGTGTATTTAGGATAACAAGCTGCTCCGCCTCTGAATTGGTATGCAGAAGCTCAAAGACTCCTTTATATTGACATATCGTGGAACGTGATCCAAATACATGGGACATTATACCGAACGGCGAACAAAGCTTTTACCGATTCTGCAAATCGTTCGTAAAGGTAAAACAAATCGTTTGGAAAATAATTCTAATGCGATTAGGATTCCTAGTCCGAAATACGAAATACCTATGTCTCGTGTACCAGCATTAATTTCAATAATCTCAATCACGTATTTAATCCGCATAAATTTACAAGTCCTACCGATAAGTCCCTCTATAAATTCCTTAAGTCTCGATCGCATCGCGAAAATAACAAAGTGACCGAAGATGGATATCCGTTTCAAATATTCACGCCCTTTTCGCGCCGCAGCATGAAATTGATGCGTTTAGGAACCCTTTACTCGAAGGGCGGACAGTTACTGCTACATAAATATCACCAAGAGCCTGCTGACCACATGGCATAGTTACAACCCTGAAAAAAAAAAAGTATCTACATCCTCGAGATACGCGCATCAGGTATAAGAACTGTATAGAATCAATTGAAATTAAAGAAAAATATTCACCTTACTCTATAATTAATATTAAAATAATTAATATTAAATTCATCTAAATGTTTTTTTGTCTCGTTAACTATCCGACGTATCGCTTTCGTCGCATCGAGTAATGCTCGATTCCCAAGGCACGTCCTTCGAAGCGTCTGTTATACGTGAATATTAAGTCGATGTGTTTGCGTTAGCAGCTATGACAGGCACTTCCGTTTCCGTCGAGCACTCTTGACTTTCATTCCGTTTCGGGACGCGTGACATGTTTATACCACGCTGTCATCCGTTCATATCCCATTTGCGACATGGTGGTCTCTATCCGATTTTCCAAACCAGTATCTTTATAAATGTTTAACAGCTTTTGTATTTCCAATTTGAATTTAGAACCTCAACGATACAATTAAAGCTATACACGTGACGTAGTACGGACGAACGAAAGAACGCCAAGCACCGTGACGAATGAAACGTTCGTTTCCCCATTTAGTTTTTCTTTGTACATCAGAAACGTCAAACCGACTCTAGATGCTTGGTAGCAGTATCGTGCGTCTGGGATCTTTAAGAATAATTCATTAAAACGTCATTGAACATTTCAACTGGTTATATCGTTCGTTGATTAACAAGGTCCGTCTTTGTTTTCTACCCGAAATATTTCTTCGTTTTTCATTTTTATAACCTTAAGTATATTCTTCACCTATTCCGTAATAGATCGCGATGATTAATTATCAGTACGGCCCTCGTGACACTTTTACACGGGAAACGGCCTCGAGACCGACAATATAACGAATTTACTGTGAAATATGGAACTTTGCTGTTTCGTTCGGTTAATTGTTTCGTACACGAATATCCTTAATGGGTGAATTCTCAACGGTTTGTACGAAATGGTAAGCATCTGGTAGAAGGTAAAAGTGACCAATATCTTAAATCGTGCTAATTAACCTAAAAATCATAAAATTGGACATGAGCAATTTTCTATTCCAAAAATGTTCAAGTACAGTAATTTTTACGAAAGATGTAAAAAATCAAAATGGCGGATAAGAAAAGGAAAAAAATTGGTATAAAGTGCTCCGATGACTTCTCGAAATTTCCATCGACTTCCACATCCCGCAGAGAATAATATTACAAAGTAGATACTCGTTTGAAGTTAGCCAAGAGCAAAGACAGAGCCTCGTGGTATATCATTGGCTGACTGGGCGGAGTACGACGTGAAGTTGGCGCCGGCAGCGATAGATACCGCTAATTATCGATCGTAAATAACTTCACGGGGTGCACGGCAGCTCGATCATATCTAAGAGCGAGTGGCTTTCACCCTGTTCGAATGATATAGGATGCACGCGGGGTACAGAGTCGCGCAGCACACTTCAGGGTGGTTGGATATATTACACGCTTCCAGGTCGGTTATTACACAAGGATGGTAATTGCCGGGCATCCTTTCTACGTGGCGTACTTTGATTTGTGTCCAGATAGACTCTGCTGGTGTGAACGTAGCCACGAGCTACGAGTATCGATTCCCTCTTTGATACCGAACGAACGAAGAACACGCGAGCTACTTTGGTTCTTCGTGATTTCCACTAGTAACCCTCGTATGGCGGTTTACCCTTAAAAAAGTGATGAAGCCACGATAAGATCATTTTAACAAATTAATACCGTTCCAACGATCTCATTCGATTATCGATTCTCGACCTTCGACACAAAATAGCGTATTACCAGGAACGAAGCTGTATGAAAATTCTGTGACTGGCATTTGACAGTGAAAAAAATTTAATTTTTTTCCCCCGTATGAATGAACACGTATACGATTTTCATAAGGTACCTTTGCCAAGAAGCTTTTCCAGGGGTTGATTTTACGTATCGCGAGTAACCGTGGGCGCTATCGCGTTACTAGTGGAACCTTTGATCTCGCGACACTTACAATTTTCCCGACTGGCGATACACCCTTATTTTGCACGCGCCACGCGATTCCTAATGAGAGGCTATGCTGCACTCGGGAACGTAATCACAAGGCATGATGGCTCGTTCCTATCCCTCTCGTAGCAGCCCTATTACGTTGAAACGTTAATACACCCCGTCGATACCGCCAGCGTTACGTCAAGCGGTACCAATGTACTCAGGATACCTACATAGACAGTTTACCTCCATCAGTGTCTTTACAATAGCAAAAACAAACTATTTCAATCCGAATTTACACGGTACACCTATACACGAGTGCCAGACGCGATCAAAAGATCAGACCACTCACGTAAATTGTATACATACATATTTGCTAAGTAAGAAAAAAAAAAAGATAAAATCGTCCCATAGGTCCCAAGATGAGGTACGGATTTGACAAAGGGAGCCTTGCTAAATCCCCGAGTATATCTGACGTCGAACTGGGCGAAGCCTCGGTGCAAATACAATAACCCTTTATTTGCTCCCTTTCTTCGCACGCTGCCCGTGATTCAACAATCTAGACGTCGTGGCAAACAGCGCCGACTCTGCCTCCGGCAATTTCTCCAAATTCCCCGAATTCATCCGAATATCACGAAGGGAGGAAACTCGATAGAGCCAGCTACCTAGTCTCTGGTATATGGTTCCCTAGCGTTGGTATACACCAGTGTGCCTTGCGACGGAGTCTATGAGGGAGACGTATATACATACTGGTATATGTACAAGGGGGCGAGTGGGGCGTATCGGATAAGAGAAACTACGCAGGGTACTTTTGCAGGACTGATAGACACGCTTGTCGGACATACGGTAAACACTCGAAGAGATTGCTCCGTTGGCATGGACCACCAACCTCCCCCTTCTTCGCTATCATCCTCAAACGGAAATCTTACTTTCCCCAAATCCCTAATCTTCCAGAAGGGGGTGTGCAGATTAATTCCCGCTATCGTGATGCGATCCAGTCCCTGCAGCAGTGGTACTGAACTTTCTTTTTCTCTTCAGTTGGACACGACATCGATATCGTAGGTACCCCAGTCGATACCGGTAGCCTGGGGTAGAGGGTGCGAAAGAGCAATTAACTCTCAAGTGTTTCCTGCAAGGTGTGACTCGGCCGTCAAGGCATAAAAGGAAGGGACGCTAACCACCTGACACCAAGGATACCGAGGTAACAGTGTTCAATGATAGTAATTCAATTTTTATTCGACAAGGATGTAATATATTCAGTCAACGTTCATTTGGCTAATGGTGATTTCAGCTACAACCGACGGGTCTCTATGTACGGTCATGAAACGATCTTACGTATCTGATGGAGGATACTTGGCGACAGGATCGTCATAACAGCCGGAACTGCGGATAGGGACTTTGCCATTTCTTTGGAACGGTTACGAGTCTTCGGGTCAGGGACGATAAGTACAGGTCGTGAAAGGATTTCTAGGTATGTCTTGCGAAGGTGGTTTTGAATGCGTCGGTAGATACGTAATCGTGGGAGTTGGTTGTCAAGGTGTGTACAGTAAGGTTGTGGTTTCTCTTATGTTGAACGAAGTTAAGAACGGTCACGCTGGAATGACAAAACAAACTCGTTTCCTCTGTCGTTAAAAAAAAAAAAAGAAAAAGAAAAAAAAAGAGGCGCGAGAACCGAACGGCCATTTTGAACGTAGCGTTGACAACGCTCGCGGTACGTGTAATAAGATTGCAGCAACGCGTCGTTGCGACGTCGTTAATTACGAGAGTAATCGCGGTGAATCGCGGCCGGGAGTAAAATCACGAAAGCAAAACGCGTCGAGACGCCACGGAGTGACGGAAGATCTGTAAGCACAAAGGGGAGAATTGAATTAAAATCTGACCCGTCATGCCTCGGATAAATCCGAATTAATTAAGCGGTTTGAGAGGCCGCGCATGTCTTTTCTTTGCTTGTTCATTTTCTACTTTTTTTTTCCTCTCTTTCCTTGCCTCTCTCCCATGCCCCGTATACGCTCTCTCTCGGTCGCTCGTTTTTCTATATCTCCACGTCATTTCGCTTCGTTCGGAATTCTTTTCCTTTATTTCAACTTTTTTTTACCTTCTTCTCTCTTTTTCTTTGCTGCGTCGGTTTTGGTTTCGTCGTCAGGTAAGTTAAGCGCCGGAGCCATTCAGTAGCTGATGGGTTAATTGAGACCCAACTAGGGACTCAAAAGGCTTTCTTGGAGCTGTCTGTGAAACGAATGCGTTTTAGATATTGTCCTTCATATCGTTAGAACCAGTCTATCCTTATGACTGGTATCGAACCCTTTTTCCATGATATTCTGTTTAGTTGAAAAAAAGTCTTTATTTATCCTTGCACCCTGTCTATGGGTATGTCTATTATACTGTGGCGTAGATAAATTTGCACCCTTTTCTCCGACGCCTCGTTACAGCCCTGTAAATAAATCGACACTTTTTCTCAGAGTGCCGGCACCAAGGCTGTAATAACAGCATGAATATTTTCATCTCGTGGCGGATGGAGAATCAAATCTGGACCGGTACCCGGTACTTAACCTCTTCGTTCTCGAGTGACTCGATAAAATCGAGTAATTGGTGTTCATAGGTGGCGAACTGGTGTCCTTGAAACTGGTAAATCTGGTACAGGATATTTCTTCAGCTTGCAGCATCCCGATAATCGTACCCCCTTAGGTGGACCAGTTCGCTGTTACCGGACAGCCCCGTTTTGGATATTTTTCTTTTTCAGGGAGCAGGGATCGAGCGAACGATGGTCACGGGGGACTTTGGTGGTTAAGTAACTGGTTCGTTAGAATGTTTATTTGCTTAGGGGTCTTTTGTCAGATGTGGACGAGTGTTATGACGACCTGCTACCACCCTGGCATTGTCATATGTCTAGCAGGAGGGACCGTCTTCCGTCGACTATTCGTGTTCCAAGGTAAATTGAACGTCCGTACGAAATGTCCAGACCTAATGAAAGTCCATAAGCTCGAAGTATATAAATAAGTAGAATTAAAAGAAAATCAATAACGTCCACCATCAACGAGCTCGCGTACTATTTATTAATAAATAAAATATTTCTTCTCACGTTTTATTAGCAATGCTATACTCCATTCGGGCTAATTTTTTCACAGCCTTCCGTCTCAGCAGGGACTGTACCCACTCATTAAAAACAAATACGCGCTTCTCCTCGGCAAAAAAAGATACGCTAACGATACACACACCTCGAACACGTTTCTGAATGCTCAGTTGCGCGCGCGCCTCTGCACTCATAATCCTCGTGCGTGATTCCCGACTCTCTATGGGGATCGGAAATAATGTAAAGTGTAGAGTCACCACGAAGGCATCAGGGAGCCAGGTATCACTTCTGCTTCTTATTTATATAAATGACCAGCGAATAACTTACTTCGAAACGTCACAAACTAGCACCCGCGTAACGCGCCAGCCCGCCTCCTGTCACGGCCCCGTGAAATTAGACCTTTCCATAACGTCCAGTTGCACGTGATAAGTCATCGATAAATTCACGTACGAATTTCCTGAGGCAACGGAGTTAGCCAAGTGTGCGGGGAAGCGCCGTGGGGCGTCGATAAAAAAAGAAATTTTTAAACCTACCGTCCGCCGATCGAAAACCTGTTCGAAATACGTACGGTTAATCTACGAGAGGCAAAACGATATAATCCCGTAATAGAAACGTCACGGTTCAGGGATTTAACAGTGTCACGTCCAACTCGCATATTAATCCTCGCCGCGAAATTCATTCTCCGACAGTCCAAGGCAACTTGTAGTAAAACGAAACGTGTAGCCTACATACAAATACGTCCGTCCTCTTTGATCGATTTACGAAAGTACCTCCAGTAAATCGTACGCGGGCCCGTTCGTTCGTCCGAGAGATATTTTTTTTCTCGAGCGGGGATTAACTTTCTCCGCGGATTGTACCCATTATATAGTTTTCAATAAGCCTTCTACGAGCCCGCCATTGTATCCCAAGGATCGCTGAACTTTTGGGCTTCTGAATCGATCCAACACCACCAATTAAAATGCCTCCAGCCTTAACGACCCTTTGATTCGGTCAGCAAACTCTCGCTGACTGTCGATCAATGAATGTATCTCTTGAAAGCAATGATCGTTGCGTTGTTTGTACTCTTTCTCGATGATTGGATATACCTAGATGTCAATAGGTATACCTGACACTGTGGCATTCAACCAGTTTAGCTGTACACCAGTCCTCAGCAGCTCCTACGTCTTCTGGCACCTAAACGACGTGGCGGATGGATTGGTTATGGCGTCCATTGTTCACTTGTCACGGTTCTCGAGGGTTGCCTTCCTGCTCGGAAACCATAGCTCCTAACTATGCCTATAGGATATTTACGGGTTATGCCTCGGGATAGCAAGGAACTGTCTCTGGGCTGTGTCTTACGTTCAAATAAGATTGTCAAGCTGGTAATTGCCTAATGAGCGTTGGATGGTTGATCGTGATAATCGTTTGTTGAACCACAGCCAAGCACATTCACCGTACCGATTAATTCTATGATTTTGCCGCAGCAAACGTCCACGGATATTTATTTGCGTTAGGGTACATAAAAGAAAGAAAAAAATAGAGAAACACATCGGGGACGGCGTTTTTCCATTGTATTATTCTGCCGTAACAATCTTCGGGCAAGCCTGGTTAAACCCATTCGTTTTTCGTGAAAAGAAAAATAAGCAATAAAGAAGTACCGCAGTAGAGAAATTCGCCGTGTATCCTATTGTCGAGAATAATTGAATCGCTCTTGATAAATGTATCGAGCTTACCAGGAGGGCTAGGCTTTATGAATTAGACTTCACTGGCTATCATTTTATTTTTTTTCATCATCAAAATAGATTCTAAATTCGTTTTGAGACGAATCGCCCAGAAGATCTTGAAGTAACGTCCCATTGCCCATGAAATAACGTCATGATCATCAATGTACTTTTTTTCGGTTCGCCCTTGAATCTTTTTCAAAATTCTCATTACTTTTTCACTTGATCGAGTCTTCTCATTTTTTTTAACGATATATCATCTTTCGTAAACCTCCCATTCCCATGCTCCATCAATGCCAAACGGCGTGGTCCCAGCCAGTCGTATTCCGTCAAATCGATTGCACGGATTGTGCTACAATATTCCGATCTCCTAATTCAGGATCAAATCGACTGTAACCAGAACCATCGAAAATCATCCCGATCTCCCGTCGCTGTAACCACGAGGCGATGAATATTAACCAGCAAACAGCAGTCTGCTGGAATGGAGTGGGAGTCGGAGTAGGAGGGTACATATTCATGACGTTAACGAGCCTCCGTCGAACGTTTAATTCCGCCAACCGCCTGAGTTAGGTTAGGGTAACTCGCTCGGCAAACACAAACCCTAACTAACCGTGCATCCCTGGCTCCGTCCTGTCCTCGATGTCCTCGTATGGCGCTGTTTGCCTTTCTACACCATGAAGAATATCTCGGAGTGACCGGCGCTCTTAGCTTTACCGGTCGGTACGTGGAAAATACATGAATTCTGATGAAGAATTAAAACGAGCCACGGCATGCACCCACCAGCCAATTCGAATAGCCACCCTAGCGGTTAACCATAGAAACTATCCCGAAGTTGCTAAAGCTTTCCAGCGAGACAATTTTTGGAGGTTAAAAGGGATACATTTTTATTCCCCTTTATAACCTGCAAATATCATTTCCGTTTAGACGTTAGAACTTAATGGCAAAGTGACAGAGTAGAAATCACGTAGATCTTACAATTAGCGAAGAGTAGACGCAAGATAAACAAGATGGTGGTACATGCTCGTGCTACCGGTGCTACCGTCAGCTTCGCAGGTACTTGGCTCTGCATGCTTCGTACTCGTGACACGTGCTGTATTGTACCACAGTGTAAAGGGCACTGTCTGTGGAGTTTCTTCCGATCGATTTACATTCGTTCCTACTGTTGGGAAAGTTGCGCAGTCCGGTAGCTCGGTGAGCGCTAACCCCGGGTACATTCCACTGATCAGATATCCGAACACATCTTCCTGAGATCCTTCGCTGGCACCTCCTCACCTACTTGGGATCTTCGATCACTCTCCCTCTCTCTCGTTTTCACTCTACCCGTCTCTTCCCACTGCTCTTCCTTCTCTCGATGTCTTACTTATAATACGTCTGGGCTAACCGAAGGTTCGGGTTCACATGTTACCGGAGTGACTTGCAACTTGGTAATTTCATCCCTGGCGCGATGCCTCTTTTTTATTTTACGCGATGGTTTCAAGCCATCCATCCAGCCAGCCATCCAGCCAGCCAGCCAAGTACCACCGTCTATAAGCATCAGCACCGTGAGCGTCTCCACAGTGGTCATCATCATCATCGTCGTCCTTGTCTGCGTCGTTGTCGTCGTCATTGTCGTCATCGTCGAAGACGCATCACCACCACAGGACTGTATACGCTGAAGACCCCTCAAGAGAGCCTTCTTGTGTTTGCCCACAAACAATCCTC